TGCAGCTGAGCAATTAAAAACTTTCCGATGTACAGCGTGGCGTTTCTGGCTGACAGAAAAGCTCTGCAGGCGGTTTTGTTGCTGCCTCTCGCCCTTCTGGGCAGGATCTGCTTTAATGTTACCAGTGATGATGTGTCCATTAATGCCTGTTAGGCAAAGGAGAAATGATAACAAATACAAACTGCAGCTCAAGAGCAGGTGGGAGGTGTCCAGCTCCTAAAATTCCACCTAAACCATCTCTTTTAAAAATTACCTGTTTGGGAAGCTCCTGGAAGGATGCAGGTGAATCCCAACTCCTCCCCCCCAGCATCCCTGTGACTGCCCTTCACACCCTGAAGTGAAAATTTGGCTTTTTACTCAATGGTGGTGGATTAATGTGGAATTTCCAAGGCTCTTCCCACGAGAATGTTGGATTTGAGTGGCAAAGCTGTGATTTTTGGAGCCTCAGCAGAACTCAGTCCACTTCAAAATGGGATCCTTGGGAGGCCCTTAAATTGCAGCTGGAAATCGTGGTGCATTTTAATTCCCTAAGTAGTAGGTGGGACATTAAAAAAAGGGATATATTCAGGAGGCTTTTTACTGCTGTGTTTCTGGTAGGGGGTAAATAGAAACCCCAAAATAGCGGAATGTCTGGGGAGAGAAGCCTTTTGTCTCTCCCTGATGTGCAGTGGCTCTCCTGGGCCAACCTGGGCTAATTGACTGCCAGTAAAACTTCACCCAGGCTCCCCTTGAAGTTGTGTGTGTATTCCAAGGTATTTCTTTCCCCTGGGATTTTGTATTTCTTGCTTGCTTAATGAACTCGGGGACTCGGGGGTGTCTCCCACGAGTCTGTCGCTGGGCGCATCTGCTTTGGCTCTGGGCTCTGCTTGGCTCTGCAGGGTCTGTGGGGATGTGTTGGAGACAAAAAAGGGAGTGGAAAAGATCTCGAGGTTCTGTTCAGCCCTGCAGGAGCTTTTCCCTGGTATCCAGGTGTGCTCAATCCGGGTATCCCCCCCGGATTGGGATCTGAGCCTGTTCATCCCCCCCTGTGCTGAGAAGCCAGAGGAAGCAGGGGAGGGAGCTGGTCCTATATTTGGACCTCACTGCGTGGGCAAGAGAAACATGAACTGGTCCTAACCAAAGAATTAAAGAGGAACTCGGACTTTGGGGTATTGCAGAGCCTGAAATTCGTGCAGTTCAAGCTCTTTGTGTTTGTTCTCGTTGTTGTCGCTGGTTCCTGCGGCGCAGCAGCTTTACCTGGGCACTTGTTTTACCTGGAATTGCACGTGGTGGTTCAAAATACCCCCTTAATGCCAGCCTTGGTTAACAGGATTTTATAGTTTATATTTATTGGAATTCTTGCTACTAATTTTAACCGTTTGCAAGAAGCTTTAAATTCTGAAAATAACACCACCACCCCCCCCAAGTTCCAGCATAAATAAGGGTAAATTTTCAGTTGCATTTGTGCCTCTGAATGTTCAACAAAACAGGACAAACACACCAATACTAAGTTTAGGCAAATATTTTCCATAGAACACTGCCTCCAGTATGAATTCCAGTAAATACATGACAGAACTTCCCAAAACAACATCTTCTTTAATTATCTGCATTTCCCTGAAGAAATGGGAAGGTTTCCAGCTGGTTACTCGACCTGAGGATTTCCAGTGTCCTGTGTAGGAAATCATCCCTAACAGGGTATTTTATTAACTTTAAATTCAATTCTTCTGTGTTTTATTGACACCCTCTTGTTCCTCCTACTCTTTCCTCAGCTTCCACGTGCCAGATCTGGAGTATTTAAGGTGTGAGGAGCTCTTTGTGTGTGGCCACCACCTCTGAGAGCTTTCAGAGTCTCTGTAAGGGTTTGCTGTCTCCCCTCTGTCCCAGGGAAACCAGAGGACGAGCATAAAACCATGATAATAAAAGCCAAATATCTTTGGGGGATGAGTTTTGGGGGTTTTTTTTGGGGGGGGGGTGATCTCATGGCTTCAGAAATAATCTGACAAAAAGCACTTGGGTCTGTTGGGGTTTGGTTCGTGTTGGCGTCCCAGAGCAGAGCTTTGGTGTTGGAAAACTTGCTGCTTTATTTCTCCACCGTTCCCAAAGAATCCAGCAGGAGCTGTGGGAGGCAGGGAGCTGGGCATGGAAGTGTGGAAATGCTCTTTCCAGATAGGAAATGAGTGAAATTTTACAGAGTAAAACACTGGGGTCTGTTCAGACCCCCTTTGGAGGGTCTGTTTTCCAGTCGGGCAGGGCTGGTCGTTCCACTTTGGGTACATCTCGGGGAAGCTGCGGTTTGGATGTTCCTTTGGAAGTGATTCCTGCAGAGCTTTGGGGGCACCACCAGCGAGTTGGGCTGCAGGGAAGGATTTTGGTTTGTTCCAGCAGCTCCTTTGCCGTTCCGGTAACCGGGAGGAAACTCCCACAGCTCCCTGTGGGACCTGGCAACCCGCAGAGCCCCGGGAATGCTGTGCCAGCCTTCCAGCCCTGCCTCAGGAAGCCTTTGGCTGGAACAATAGCAGGCAGCAGGAGTGGAATTCCTGCCTCTTTAGGTGTGTTTAAAGGGGCTTTGCTCTCCCTGAGCGTGTGGAAATCCCTGGCACCGAAGGTGGATGGAGTGGCATTTCTAGGAACTGTAAGGCAGGAAGTTCAGTCCTGGCGTCCCCAAGGAAGAAGAATTAGGTGACTCTTAGGTGACTCTTGAGGGGATGACACAGGGATTTTGGAAGTGGCAGCGAAAACTCCTTAAAATTGGGGGTTTCTCCGTGCAAGAACGTCCGAGAAAGTTAATCCAAATGAAGATATAAATCCTAATGCGGTCTTAATTTGGTTTAACTTAATTCCTCTGCTTGCTTGTGCTCTGGATGAAGGTGTCCACGCAGGGATTTAATTTCATCTAATAAAAGTACTTGGATCCATATCCTTAATTCGTTTAGGGTGTGCACGTGTTCTCCTCTTCCACGAGCGCTTTCAAGCGACCCGTAGCCAGGGAATTGGACATTAGGGAAATGATGCCCGTGTAGGTACAGGGATGGTGTTGCTGAGAAGCCAAGAGCCTTCCCTTCCCTGCCTAAAAAAGGGAAACATGGAGCAGAGTATCCATGTCTTCCGTGTGTGGAGCGTGGCAAGGAGTTCCAACGCTGATATTCCTGCTCTGGGGATCACAAACAGGGCAGCTCGGGAGCCTAAAAGTGCTGAATCTTGGGAAACACGTCTCAGCTTCGCCATAAACACTCCCAAGCTTGGTATCACACGGCTTCCAACCGGTTCATCTGCAGACTGGGGAGTTTGTAAGTTCTGTAATTGAAGCTTGTCCTGATTTGTGCAGCAGGACTTTTGTCCCTGCCTCCTTATCCCGCTTCCGTGCTTCTTTCTGTTCCACTTAACTTCCCAGAAGGAGCAGCAGAACTTCCACCAATCTATAATTTGCTGTACAAGAACCACATGGAGGTTTTGGTCTTTTTTTTTTTAAAAAAATCCAGATTTTTTTCGTGTTTCAAATGCTTGTTCTGCTCGAGTTCTGTGTTCCTCTGGAGTTTCTGGCCACGCTGCAGAGCACGGGGTGAACACGCAGAGCTGGCCATGAACAGCGTGCTGTGGAATGCAGTGTCGTGGCACTCGAGGAATCCACTGATCTCTGTACCAAGAGCAAGATGTTGTTTATTGTTGCTTTATAAAGGTTGTTTCGGGTCTATAAAACGCGTCATCCAGCGCTGTCGGCTCCGAGCGCGGCCGCGCTTCGCTCAGCGTCGTAAATGTCTTGGGTGTGCTGCACATCTGGGAAACGGTGCTGGATGGGGCTCTGGGAAGGCTCAGGCTCTGTCTTGGGCTGGATTTTTTTTTTCCCTAGCGAATTTGCCCGTTTTTGTGTTAATATCAGCACATCCTGGCTGAGATTTCCTCGCTCCCGGGGCTGAGAACGCTCGGAAAGGTTTTGTGAGAGATGATGATCAACTTCAAGGGGTTCCAAGGTGTTTAATTCTTTTGCTGCTTGAGTCTCAATGCCTGCCTCTGTGATCCATTGGAAATCAATCCCTTGGGAATCCATGTGAGCACTGTGACCCAAACACCCCTTTTGGACTTGGGATCCTCAATCTCTTCCTGGTGATTATTTTCCCCATGGAAATGTGTCTCCTGTGTGTGTATGGCAACGTTTTCGCTCCTAAATGACACTTCAACCTGTTTTGTCAATTCTTTTCTCCCTTTGGAAGGGCTTCCCAGTGGGGCACCATTTCCTGTTGGGTGGCATTTAGGAAAATAAAACCTTCATGGCCCCAATTCTGCTGAAATTGGAAGAAATCAAAACTTAACCTGGCCAAAATTGGGGTCTGTTATTTCTTTCCCTGCAGTTAAAACCTCAGGTGAGGGTTGGAATTCCGAAAGCCTTCGTGATCTCTGGAATCACAGCAAGGCAAAAAGGCTGAAATTGGGCACTTTTGAGCAGATTTGAGGGGATTTTGGAGCTCACAGGAATATGACTTTTTAAATGTAAGCCAACAAATCTGGAGGAAGAGGCTGATTGTTGAAACAGGCAACGTAACAACAGGGTTTTGCAACGGAGCTCCAGTTTGCTTTTCCAAGCTTTCCCTTGGAAAAAATTCGCTTTGCGTCTCCTCGGGCCCGAGATCTGTAATAAATTTTCCCTTCAAGTGTCCATTTTTTAACTCAAAACTTTATATAAAAACACCAGAGAGGCTCGGCTGAGCTGTTCTGTGCCCGAAATGTGGCGTGGGGAGGAATGGAGTGTCACCTCTGAGCTGTTCTCCTGAACCAAAGGTCACCTTAGTTTTATTTATCCCTTTATAAATCGCTGTCTCAGGAGTTTTTTGTGTTTTCCTGCTCGGGATTCTCTGTATTTCCCTGAACCTTTTGCCTTTAAAAAACGATTTAAAGTAAAAAAAAAAACATACAGGCAAAAAAAAATCAAGCTGAGCTGTTTTTCGCCGGTGAACGTCGGAGCTTTAATTTCTCCCAAGGTGTAATTTTTGGTTTTCCATTTGTTGTTTGTTTTTTTCCTTTTGTAGGATGCTGTGACATCAAAACCAGTCATCCAGTTCCAAGGAAGCCAAGGGGTAAGTCTGTGCTTGGATTGCCTTGCAGAGTTATGCAGTCGATATAAGGAATTTGTGCTATTCCAAGGAATAATTCCCAGCTCAAGGAACAATGCTCTGCTTGCTGACAGGGAGAGTTTGAGGTCCAGGAAAGCTTTTCCCTCCCCTTTATTTCCTGCCCTTGCTAAAACCCACGTGAAACGCAGCTTTAGGAGGCCGTGCTGATGGGTAGAACAAGGAAAAGGGTGCAGAAATCCATGGAAAAGCTCACCTGCACCCCAAGGGAATGCCGTGCCAAGCCTGGTAAACTCAGGTCGACTGGACCTTGTGGGTCCCAGTTATTTCCAGCAGCAAAACTCCAAGTGCCCTGCACCTTTATTTGGTGTAACTGTGCAGCTCCTGTGAGTACCAGAAGGTCTTTTACATCTGGGAGTTTTATTTCTCTGACTTCTGTTCCGATGCCTGAACTCAGCTGTGAGCAGCTTCTCATTTTTATTCTTTTTGTTTTCACGTCAGAACTTTCAGAAAGGCTTGAATTAAGTAGACACTAAATGCAGCACATTGTCCTGGCCCACGTAGTGCTTTGTGGCATTATTCTCGTTAATAGCACACAGAAAATACAGCAGGAAAGACATGATTGTTATTGTAAGTTAAGAAGAAAAATACAGAGCTCCTTGCCCTGGGAAATACAGAAAGGAGCAATTTCCAGGTTTGTTTTGGTTTTTTTTAACTTTGTTTAGAATCAAACTTCCCCGAAAGCTGAGATCAAAATCCGGCAAAATCCAAAGCCGAGCGGAGGAAAAAACTTCCAAGGGCGTGTGGATTTGTCTTTATTAGAGGAGAAACAGCTTTGCATGTAATCAGGAATAAAAGACTGGGAATGCTTTCCCTTGGGAGAGAGCACCTGGTGAGGATCTACCCCTGACTTTTCCTGGGAAGCTGCTCAGGTTTTGGAAACACGGGTTCTTATCGTAACGAGGGATATTTTCAAATCACGCGTAATATTTTCAGGTTATAAAAATCAGTTATTTATTGCAGTTAATTGTGTCAAGAGCCCTTAACTTCCAGAGAGGATTTTTTTTTTTGGTGGGAGGGCTGTTGGTTACCTGTGTGTGTGCGAGCCCCTGGAAAAGGGGCAGGAGGGGGATGCGGAGCCTCAGCTCGTTAATTAATCGCACCTCACGAGTAAAGGCCGAAGGTAGAGCTGTGAAGGAAGAGGGATCCAGCTCCACGGGAGCAGGGAGAAAGAGCTCTTTGTCCCTTCAGGATTGTTTTTCCTGGGGGCATGACAAGGAGCTGGCAGCTGGGGAACCATCTGCTTTTAAGGGTAGGGCTCTCAGGATTCTCCTGCTTTAAAATGCTTTCGAGGGATCCTCCATCAGCTGGACCCCGGAGAGAATTCCAGGAATTTCACAAGCTCTCAGATCCAGATGATGACATTTAAAACACAGTTTGTTTAGCTGCTTATATTTTTTTTTTTATCAATGGCCTTCCTGTTTTGCTTCCCAAAAAACGTGGCTCCAGGGAAAGCCCGTTGGCTTTTTGTGCATGGCACGACTGTCGGTGGGATTGCAAAGCGGTGTTGTGAGGTTTTATTAAGTGGGAATTTTCTGTGCAAATATCCCTCTGACAAGAAGGGAAAGCTTTACTTGATGATTAGGGGAGGCAGGATGTAAAATAAGAACGTTGCAGTTATATATATATATATTTTATATATAGGAATGTGCTACTTCTTTAATTCTCCAGGAGCCTTTAAATTACTTTTTACCTATTCCAGTGTCAGGGATACTTTCAGTTTCTAATAGACAAAAAAAAAAAGCAACTTTCATGTTTGATTCACTAATTAACCAGGGAAGGGAATTGTTGGGAATAAAACAGCTGGTCAGGAAGGTGTTTTAGAAAAGGGGGATTTGGGTTCCAGCCCAAAATAAAACAGCTGTTCCAGTGGCAAGGCACAAAAAACCCCTCCTGCCTGGACCCTGGTCTGGATGGAATCTCTCAGGAGTTTGTAAAAACCTGGGATACATTTCTCTACAGCAGTGCTGGTCTCGTTAATGGCTTTTGCAGTGCAATATTCCTTGGAATAATCACAATTTCAGCCGTAGTAACCAGCTTGTAATGAGCAGAGTGTTCCTCTGCTTTGAGGTGCTAAAGTGGGATATGCCTGAAGAACAGCACCTGGTTGTTAGTTTTTCATCACCAAGTGAGGTTTTTTGGGATGGTTTTTTTTAAGGTTTTGTGCCCATTTCTTGAGCGTTTTGCTTGTTTCGACGTGCACATAAATTAGAATTTAGGAGCCCAAGTACCCCCAGCATTACAAGTGGTGATAGTTATGCACAACTGTACAAGGAAGGCTGAAAAAAAGACATTCAGAATCAGAGTTGGGTGAAATTTGCAGGTGCTTGGTGGGGAGAGAAGGGAAAGAACTGAACTGGGAGCGGGGGGTAAAAAAAAACCCTTCAGCATTCCAAAAACACGTGTGTTCAGGGAGCTTTTTAACGTGACTCTTGGGGGGAAAAATGCCATTGCTTTTTGAAAATCCAACATTTCCCCCCATTTCTGGGCACGAAGCTGTACTGGTATTAACAAGGGGAGGTGAAAAATCTCCATTCAGAGCGAGCTGTGCCCAGATGAATGTTACTTGAAAGAGGGAAACAGAAGTCACATCTGCACCGGGCTATTTTTAAGTGTCTCTGGTTACTGGTGCAATGCTCGGGCACCAAAATTAGGGGCTCCCCTCGAAGCTGATTCGGTGGCTTGAGAAACCTTCTGGTTTTTTCAGCTAAAAATAATTCCTAGATAACGGCCGGGTTTCGCACACCACGCTTTTCAGTCCTAAACTGACTCTGCCTTCCTGCCTCGTTTTACATCCTCAGAAAAAGCTGCAAGAACTCCACAAAAAAAAAAGCCAAAATTTGGGGCTGCTGGAGCAGCTGGTTTCTCCACCCCCCCCAATGGTAAATCAGGAGAGAGGAGAAAGTTCTGTGGTGTGTGAATACACGGTTTGGTTGCTTTCCTATTTTCCTTCCTGGGGGCAATCCCGTTAACTTTTGTGCTGTCAGGGGGATTTTTTTGAAGCAGTGTTGCAAGTTGGAATGATGAAGGTTTTAAAAAAGAGTGGGAATTTTCTGTGGAAATATCCCCCTCTCCCAAGGAAGAAAAGCTTTTCTTTTACAAACTTAAGTTGTTGGCAGCACAGCTCGATCCCCCCGACCAGCGGCTCCGGAAGGGGAACCAACCCCCTTGAATTTACCTTTTCTCCCCGTTCCCACCGAACTGATCTGCAAAAACACCCCCAATCTGCTGGTTACAGGACTCTGGTCTTGTAAAGCCAGAAGGGAATTTTATTTCCCCTGCCCTGGGTGGGGGCAGAGGGCGCAGGGCCAGATTAAAAGGGCTCGAGGCTGGCAAGGGGAGATAACGGGGCTCCTCAGGGAGGGCCCAGCAGCACCCACATCCCCACCAAATCTGCCCCCAGGTATCCTGGGGGATAACTCTTCCCTCTGTATAAAACAAGGCTCAAGCCTGGCTTTCTGGGCTTGCCTTTGGAAGAAGGGAGCTCTGTTTGAGGGCAGGGAGGGCGCTGCAGGGGCTCAGCTCCAGAGCTCCTGGCTGCCTCTGGCAGCAGCCCTGCGGTTCATTTAGCAGAGGGGCACAGATGCTCTGGGTCGCTTCCCAGGCTGCTGGAGACATCTGAGGTCGAAAGGAAACCACCCAAAACCCCCTCCTGTCCCGGCAGCAATCCTTCCTGGGCACAGTCAGGCGTGGATGCCACGGGCTGGTTTTGCTGGGAGTGTGTATTTTCTGCATATATGTGGCAATCCGGGTAAATATAAATCCGTGCGGTTGAGTGCAGCCGAAAATAGGTTTGCAACTGATGTTCCTTCTGTCTGGTTTTTCTGGGAGCCATCTTAATTATCAAATATTGATGTGATAGTAGAGCTCAGACGCTGGCATTTACGTTGGATCTCCAGTGCAGAGTGGGGAGAGAGTTTTCCCTTTTGAAAAATGAATGGCTTGGGGTGAGGGGGGGTGGAGGCGAAGAAAAAACAATGCAGGATGGCTGTGGAGTTGTCTGAGGAGCACAGTTAATGCTTGATTAAATATTTAATTTAGCAGCAGCGTCACACTCTACTGTGAGCCATGAAATCTTGTTATGGAATTATAATATCTTAAAAAAGAAGAAGGGTGCTACCTAGTGACCTGGCTGGTGCTATGTTTAGTGCTGGCTCACTAATTCGAAAGAAACAAGCCCTGAGTGTTTTAAATTGAATATAAACAGGGTGTTTTGAGCCTGAATCGATAGAACTGGGTCAGATTCCTAGAGCAAGGTTATTGTGGGCTCTGTTGGAGAGGCAGCAAGTCCCTTCCTTGCATCTCTGTGCTGTCTGTAGTGCCCTTTCCCTCGTGTCCACACACAATGGGGTAACCTGAATTCTCCTTGTAGCCTCTTGCTCTTCTCGCCCTCCTGTGCAGAAATCCAGGTGCTTTTCTTGCAGTGGGTTGCAAAATGCCTGAAAAGCACTGTGGCTGCAGGAGAACCGGGTCCTGTGCCAGCCTGGGGCACCCAAGTGCTGATGGTTTCTCCCCTCTCCCGAACAGCACATCGCGATTCCAAGGCCCGACCGACCGACGGAAGTGAGGACCTTCACGTTTTACCTTTCAAATATCGGCAAGGACAGCCCCCAGGGGAGCTTTGACTGCATCCAGCAGTATGTATCCAGGTGAGTGGTACCTCCAAAAAAAACCCAAAAACCAAAAAAACCCCAGCCTTTTTTTTTTAACCTGTGTTCCACGGATCTTTTCCCTGACAAACCCCAACGAAGCTTGATACGTGCTCCTCGATTTTAGAGCCTTTCTCATCTGTTTGAGTGTGGTTTTGGAAAGCAGCTGAGTTTTCTCCTGAGCTCTGGAAGAATTTGAGTTCCCTCTCAGCTCCTCTGTGTCCCCCACTAATATTTAACTGGCACAGCCCCAGCTGTCCCCCGGTGTCATCTGCAGCATCAGGAGTATCTTTTCCACAGCTTTGCTTTTTTTTTTTGTGCAGCAATGGCAACATCCACCTGGATTGCCTTGGGAGCATACAGGACAAAATCACCGTGTGTGCTACTGATGATTCCTACCAGAAGGCGAGGCAGAGCATGGCACAGGCCGAGGAGGAGACGCGCAGCCGGAGCGCCATCGTCATCAAACCTGGGGGGAGATACGTAGGTAAGCCCCCTCTCCATTTTTTGGGAGAGTTCTGGAGAGTCCAGGTTCTGGAGTCATTGCTGATGTTGTTTGCTTGCCCGTGGCAGTGTCTGGTGGTTCCTTATGGGTGTCTGGTTTAGGGTGCTGCTCTCCTTGCATTGTGTCGTCTTCACGGTTCCATCACCACCCCAGGGCTCTACCTGGAGAAGCTGCGGCTGCCCCATCCCTGGAAGTGTCCAAGGCCAGGTTGGATGGGACTCAGAGCAGCCTGGTCTTAGTGGGAGGTGTCCCTGCCCATGGCAGGGGGTGGAACTGGGTGATCTTTAAGGTCCCTCCCAAGCCAAACCTTTCTGTGACTCTGCCGGGGTTGTGTGTGTGCAGTGACATCCCTGGCTGGCTGCAGGTCACGTCTGTCACGCTGGGAGCACCCTGCTGATCCATCACAGTGTCTGTGCCCGTGGCCAGCTCAGCTAAAAACGTGCCACCACCGCGTCACACACAGCTGGTGTGTGCCCACTCCAGACCAGAACGTGCCACAGGTTGTGTTAATGAGCAGAGAGACTAAAGCAGCCTGAACAGGCCACCTCGCTGTGACAACAGAAGGAAAACCTTAGGAGAGGAAGTAAAACTGTGGCAGATATCACAAGGAGCCTGCAGAGACCCAGCTCTGGGCTCAGGGCCCTGCTTAACCTCGGGTCACAAACTCAGGGCGCAAACACGAAGCAGAAAGCAGGGTTTCAGTATTTGTCCTTTTTGAGGCAGCTGTTTTTTCCTGCAGCCCATGTGATCTGTAGCCAGTCACTGCTCAGAGGACCTGTGACGAGAAGGGTGAGTTGCAAAATGTAGAACTGACCCTGACTCAACTGGCAAAGTGCTCAAAGCCGAGAAACGAGATAATAATCAGGAAGGAAATGCATTGATTTCCTGTAGACTAGAAGATTATTTTGTTTAGCTCCTCTTTGAGAACATTACAGTAAGTGCATGAAGTTGAGGCTCGTGAGGGAGAAGGTTCTCAAAAGGCAAATTGCTTCCCGGGGAGACGGAGCAGAACTTCTTGATTTAAAAATACTCCTGCTAAAACCTTTTACCGCCCTGAAAATGGAGCTGTGTAAAAGCAGTGGCTGCTCCTAGATAAGATGTCAGCGTTGAAGACAGGAGGGGAGCGCTGGTCCAAGAAGGAAGAGCCTGGAAGGACAGTCCTGGTGTGGGATCCGCACATTCCCGGTGTGCCAGCACCATCAGCTGATTCCCATTCCCGGCAGGCCGGGCTGGAGGGACAGCACTGGCTCTCACATTTCCATGAGAACACGGAGCTCAGCACTTCAGCGGCAGTGGAGTCATTCCAGGCAGCTCAGATGTGGAAAAATTTATAGGAGATGTTGAAATTGGAGAGCAGCAGAACTCACAGATGTGAACTGGCACTTGGATAAATACATGTGTAAATAGATGCCTGCAGGTAGAACCTGCAGGGGATGTGTGTGCTTGTATCCACACCAAACGTGTGTGTGCATCCATATCCATGCACCTGCATAAATATTTTAAAATCCTTTGTGTTCTGGCTTAACTCAGTTGTTTTTTTTTTTTTCTTTCTTTCTTTTCCTATCACTGCACATTTTGGCTCCAGCCTCAAGTGGAAACCCTCCCAGTGTGTGTTTTTTTTTTACCGCTCATGACCTGGCAGGAGTTGAGGCAGCTCTAGAAAGCTGACGAATCCTCTCTTGTCCCAGTCGCTGGGAACAAAAATCCAGTTGACCTCTGGATTTTTGGGGGTGGTTTTTAAAGGCGTGAATTGCTGCTGCTCTTGCCTCTCACCTCTCCTGAGGGGAGGTTGGGTCCTGCTTGCTCGGGAGCCACTGCCGGTGTGTAATAAAAAAAGCCAGGAAATGGGGCCTGGGTTACGCAATCCCAGCTCAGTAAAACAAACAGTGCAGACAATCCCCAGTATCTTCAGATGACTCAGTTGGAAAACTGTCGCTTCCTAGCAGTGGAGAAGTGCCATCCTGGAATAAACCCCCCGAAACACTTGCAGTAAATGCCGGATGGTTGTTTGTCCTGGCAGAAGGTCACTTTCCCTCCAGCCCCAAGTGATTTATTGATTGTGCCTCCACGGCCTTCAGGACCTTGGAACCCTGCTCGTTTTCCTCCCAGCTTTGCCTTGCTTTGCCTTTGGTAGCAGGAACCTGGCTGTGGGACCCTCTGCTGTGTTCACAACAACCCAGTTCTTTTGCTCTGGGGCTGGTGTGAGGGTCTGTTTTTGGTGGGAATGGTGGTGGTGGGGAAATGAATTCTTGGATCGTGCTGTCAGCAGCCAGGAAGCACGCTGAGGAAGCTGAGGTGCACTTTTTGAGGCAGCTTTTATGTTCTCACTTCTCTGAAAACTCAACTGGAGGGTTGAAGCAGCTCTTAGTCCAGGGTGGAAGGGGTTATTCTATGAGCACAGGCAGCACCCTGATGAATAGGCTGATGGCCCAGTGTCAGCCCCATTCATGGGGCCGTGTTTGGAGGGGGAAGGGAGGTGGACCCAGCCCCATAAAGTTCCTATTGTTCTAAAAGCAGAAACATCTGCTGGAGGAGCGTTTTTGCTGAGCTCAGCAGCGGGGAGCCGCTCGTTGACCAGTTCTGGTCTTTCCACCCCGTATTTCCACTCTTCTACATAATAATGCAGAATTTTCTTCTCATAGGGGAGGGGAGAATAGTTTGGGGGTGGGGGGGGGGAATAGTTAGATTAACCATGGGGATACGTGCACTTGGGATAAATGAAAAGCTGGCAAACAAAGGGAGCTTTATGTAAGCTGGTGGCCAATAATGCTCAGGTTTCCAGAGCTTGGTGTTGCTGTTTACTTGTTACAAGCTTGTCATGAACCATAAAACTCATGGGGGTGCTCGTTCCGTGCCGGAGCAGAAAGGGGGTTGTGCTGGTTGTGTTTTTTTGTCCTTCCTTGTCATCTTGTGGCACTTCAGAGGGGCCGCGATGAGCTCTTCTCGTGCGTGTTTGACAGCCCACTTGGCCTTTTGCAAGGTGACTGCTGCAGTTCACTATTCTCATCTCATTTTAGGCAAAAAGGTTCAGGTGCGTAAACCTGCACCAGGAGCTTCCGATGCTGTTCCCTCCAGGAAGCGCCCAACGCCAGTCAACCTTGCCAGTGCAATAAAGAGAGGCAATAGTGCCATTTCTCAGAGACCCTTCAAAGATAGGGTTGTGCACTTACTGGCACTAAAGCCTTATAAGAAACCTGAACTTATTCTCAGATTGCAGAAGGATGGACTTTCTCAGCAGGACAAGGATTTGCTGGATAACCTTCTGCAACAGGTTTGTACTCTTTGGCGGAGGTGACGATTTTTAGGTAAAGGGAAATGTCTTCTCGGAACCCTCCCGGGTCAGTCTTAACCTGTTATCTCCAAACTGCAGCTGAGTGTGTCTCTAAAGGCCGTGGGTGACACAGTTCCCAGCTCGTGGTGCTGTTGCAGAGATAGCAGGAGCCTCCCGTGGCTACGCCTCGGGTTAGGGGGGTTTGCAACCAAGCTGGATGATTTTGGCCCACCAGATCAGTCCTTTCAGAGGAAAACTTCTGCTTGGTCGTGGGGGAGGATTGGCTGGCAGAGGATCTCCAACTTACTTGCTTTGCTGTAACCTGTAAATGTCTGTATTTTTTATTCTCGTGGACATAGAGGAGCAACGCTCTGTGTTGAGACGTGGTTTTCTGTGTGAGGGAAAAAGATGTCCCCTCTTTTTTTTTTTTTTTTTTTGTGTTGCTCTGAGCCTTTCCTGCTTGGAAGTGCCACTGGTTAGGTGTGAGGATCATGCACATTATTGGTATGTCAAGTGTGAAAGCTGTCTCCAAGCTGAATCAGTTCCTAACACTTGGAGTCACGTTGAAGGTGCCATTTTAGGCCTTGCAGTCAATCCCTTTATTGCTTTCTTAAACACAGCATGGCTATTTATTTAAGTGCTGCAGCTGCCCTCTTCTGTATTGGAATATATCCTGGAAAATATTCTGTCTTTTACTCCTTTCCAGAGCTGAAAACACCGAGGCAGGACTTGGTTTGCCCGAGGGCCCAGGGCAGGTCACATTAAAACCGGAGTCCCAGCCGGCACAACTCGCTCCTTTCCCTTAAGATGTTAACCCTGCAAGCCTTCATTTTTTTATTTTTTTTTTCCTAGCAGTGCTGGGGATTCTTTGGAGCACCTTTTGTGAGTGCCCTAAATCAGGTTTCAGACCAGAAACTGTGTTTCTGATGATCCCTTTGGACCGATGCTCCCCCGAAAGCCCCGGCGGGGGAAGCGGCGCGTGCGGATGCAGCCACGGGGCCCCCTGATTGGCCTAAATGCTGATTTGGCTGGAAACGTGTTGCTCGTAAAGTTAATCCCTCTCAGCCCTCCCAGGGCTCCCTCCCATCCACCAGCAGACACAGATAAGCTAAAAATTACAGGCTGTGTTAAAGCTGCACGTCTAAATCCGTCGAGGTGTGGGTTTTATTGTGCTCTCTTGCATCTCTCGCAGGACTCCGTGTTCCTGACGGCCTTTTTGCCTCATTTTGCAAGGTTTCTATTTTTGGGAGGGCTGGGGTGGAGCTTCCAGAGTCCCACACAAGAGCAAAACAAGGAGGTAGCAGCTCTCAAGCTCTGTGGAGAGAAAAAAAAATCCAAGTTGTTCTTCCTGGGGCTCCAGAAACAGGCAGGAACTGGAGAAATTCTGGGAGAGTTCTTGAAAAAGGACCTGGCTTTGCTTTTGTCTCTTGGGTGTGTTTACAGGGACACCTCAGTGTAAAACACAGCTCAAATTCTTCTTGTATTTTGGCTCAGGATTTTGGAAAGCTGACAGAACTGAGAGGAAAAACAAAGTGTTGGTCGTGTAAACTGATAACTGGGCTTTCTATTTTGCTCTTATCAGGAGAGTTTGCTGTGTTACTTGTGCAGCTCTTTTGCTTTGAAATGCCTCGATTTTTAATATTTTTTAATATTTGGTGGCAGTCTCCCTAAAGCAAAAGCAGAGGAATTAGCATCATCTTCAGTTAATTCAAGACTTTCCACTCCTTCTCTTGTTTTTGAGGCGTTTTCCCAAACCATTCCATGACTCTCTGAATCACCTGAGGGAGGTTCACTGGCAGGGAAAGCCTGATTTGGGGCTCTTTGCTTGGTGCCAACGCTGGGGTTTTTCGGATGTGCAACCAGCAGCAGCGAGAAGTTAAATTTTCAGTCAGGCCGTGGAAAGACTGACCCGAGTGGGATAACTCTGAACAAGTTGTTTCCATCCTGATCCGATCCTGCTCGTTCCAGCAGTGTTTCCTGTCCATGCAGGGCTTTGTGGGGGGAAGCTCCACAGGGGTAGGGCTGGATGAGACATCAGGCAGCGTGTGCTGAGCTCCCTGTGGTGCCCGGGCTGCAAATCACACCTTCTGTTCGTGCCCCCAAAGTACCCTTGGGAAGGTTCTCTCTGGGAAATCCGGTGGATCTGCACTCTTCTCGCTGCTCCCCGAGAAAAGCAGCTCTCTGTCACCTCTTTCCCTGGCTGGTTTAGCGAGGAAATGTCTCCTGGCAATTGTTAACTAAATTATTGCCACAAGAGTTCCTCTCTGGGCCATAAACTGCCCCGTTTTGGCCGTGGCACAGGTGTGATAAGAGAACTGCCTGTTCCCATTAGGGTTTATTTCCAGGTATTTCCATAAACTGATGTTGTGCTGGTCCAGGCTACCCAAGCTGAATAATCTTTTTAGATATGACTTATTTCCCACTAAACTGGATGTGCTTTAGGAGCTCGTTATGAATGATTGCAGTGACAGGGCAGAAGGAAAGGCGCAGCTTGATTAAATAATCTTAGTGATTAGGAAATGAAACATCAAAGCCCTTGTTCTCTGACACTACTAACTGCTCAGTCTGCTCAGATTTTGCCTTCGTCTTAGCTCTTGTTTGTTAGAGTAAGTGAGAAAATTGAAACCCTAATGGTGTTTTTTACGGATCACTTCTATTTCAGGTGGCAAATTTGAGTGCCAAGGACAGCACTTTCACACTGAAGGATTGTGTATACAAAGAAGTGCAGAAGGACTGGCCTGGCTACTCAGAAGGAGATCAGCAGTTGCTGAAGAGGATCCTGGTTAGGTAATTATCCCATATTCTCCCTAATTTCACTTGGAGCTTGGAAATCAGGGTAACCGAGGTCTGAAAGTTGAGTGTCTGATTCGTTTTAACATCAGGCAGATGGAGGAGGAGTTGACTAAAGTTGAATATCCAAGTGGATCCACTCTTCAGATGGTCCTGGGTTGCCTTTAAACCACTCTCCTAAAAGCTTGAGGAAAACCTGGACAGGGAGCAGAGCTGGCAGAGTGAAGTGTGTGCAGCTCAGCTCTGCTCTGGAAGTCTCCTTCCCTTTTCCCACATCTCCTTGCACGTGTCTTCCTGTGTTGAAAGGCAAAGGAGAGGTTGTTACCAGGCAGCCACATCCCTGAGGCTCAGCTCTGACTGAAGTTAAGGGATGCATGGAAAAGCAGAGGCAGTTCCCTAGGGATAAACCCCCTAAAACACGTGCTGGGTGTCCTGCTGCTGATCCTCTGTGTCCAAGGGATCCCTGTTCCCTCCTGAAAACAGCCCTTAACACAGCCTCGTGATCCTTAGTTGCTGAAGGTGTTTTTCCTCTACAGATATTTTTTTCCTTAAGTTGAAGCCTCCAAGCTTGAGGAGGCAGCAGGGAGAGAGAGCCCAGATCTCCCAGGTTTCTCCAGGAGAATTCTTCCCTGAGTGTTTGTATTTCCCTCTCTGGGTTTTCAGTGCCTTTGTAGTGCAGACAGAGCTTTTACTTGTGCCTTATTTTATTGCACTTTTGGTTGAGATGAAGCAATAAAAAAAAACCCTGCTCTGTCTGAGCAGTTCCCATGATTTAAAAGCACAATTGACTTGGAGATGAGACTAAACCAACAGAAAGTTGCACTCCAAGTGCTTCTGGTGTGCTGAAGAAAAATCAAAACTCCTTTAAACGGCCTTGATGTTAAATTATAATTAAAAGGAGAGCCATAACTGCCATGCAATCTTTATGGCTTTCAAACAACCCAGTGAATTTCTCCCTGTAGAAAGCCATGTTTACTGCTTTTTTTTTTTTTTTTTTTTTTCTGGAATTGTGGTGTTCAGTTAGGAGGAGGTCTAAAAATAGACCTTGGAAAGGATGTATTCAACTGTACAAACAAAGCCCCGCTCAGCCAGTGCAGGTAATGAGGCTCCAAAATGGAAAAAAAACACGGAGGGGTTTGAAGACAGGAGAAAAACAGCCACAAAAAGGGCACAGGCGGCAGCAGACGTTGGATTTACGTCGCCCTCGTTGCCTGGAGCCAACCAATTGTTCCGTGTCCTCCTGGTTTTCAGGGCCAGTGGCCACTGGATGGTTCAGCAGCTGCAGTGATTGGCACATCTGCAAATGGTGGAGCTGTAACTAACCCTGCTTGTTGGGGATTTTCCTCCTGTTTGTGTTTTCCATCCTTCTGTTGATGGAAAACGGGACCCTGAGCCACTTGAGGTAGGGAAGGTGTCGCTGCCCATGGCGCTGGATGGGTTGTGGAAGGTCCATTCCAGGATTCCATGAAACCTTCAGCTGTTAGAGCTGCTTAAGTCCTCAGTGAACAATGAGAAGGTCGCTCAGGCTGATGACCCAGCCCCCAAAAAAGCCACTTTCCCCCAGGGTGTTTCTGCAACATCACCGTCCCCTTCCTGAGTACTTTCCTTGAGCTGCTGAGATTGTCCTAAAGAAAATTGAACAAAGCCAGGGCTGGCTGTGACTAAATGATGTGTAAATGTTGCTGCAATACAACCCAAGGTTCAGGCTCGGGTTAAAAGCAAAATCTTGTCAAGTCATGGGCGTTATCTGTGAAATAATCCTCCTGATGTTTGAAAAATACAGGTTTTAATGCTGACTGTAGTTTTCTCCTGGAAGAATTTAGACCTCGGTTATTTAGGCTCCACAGCTGGTGACAAACTGACTGCAGAGCTACTTTATTAAAAACCTTTAACCCTGATTTTTTTTTTTCCTCCAGTTTGTTGTTGGTTTTGTTTTTTTTGTTTTCCAGCTACAACTTGATGCAACAGTAGTGGGTTTTTTCTGGGTGATTAATACAGGGACAGTCTGGGCAAAGCTGGTGGGCTGGGAAAGTACTCTCAAGATCTGGGGAGGAGCAGAGACCTGGCCTGAAGGGGAATTAAGGCACTTAAGTGATTGTAATTGTTTTTTTTGTTTTTTTTTTTTGCTACAAGAGGTTTCTCTTATTTGTTGAACACCACAAATACAGCCCAGAATAGCTTTGTTTTTGCATGATGCAACTTAAAAGTGTTATTGTGAAGCCCTAAATGTAAATCCTAGTGGACCAATAATACCTCAGCAGTTCCTGTTATAATCCTGTTTTTCCTGGACCCAGAGGGGCTCGCTGCTGAAAGGACTGCTGTTCCCATAAAATGTTGCTTTAATGATGCTGATGAGTGGGAGAATTTATTCCTTAACATCTGACCTTGAGTTTCAGCCCCTTCTCAGTGAGCTTTGCTTTCTGAGTTGCCTCCTGAAGTCACTTTTAACTGGGTAAAGCAAAAACTCAGCAGAAATTTGTTTAATTAATCTCTTACTGAGTTGTATTTCAATCAGAAGAATAATGTATTATACCCTTTACACTTCAAAATTCAGTGCCAGTTCTACTAATCTCCACGTGGATCACGTTCCAGAGGCTGCCATTAATTTGTTGCAATTCTTTACATCACGAGTTCAAGAGGAAAGAGGTAAAAACGCTGGAAAATCCGTTCCATCCTCAGTAGGGAATCCTCTCCTGCGTCCGAGAGCTCAGCCTTGCAGTGCTGCTCCCTCCATTCCCAGAGAACCACAAAACACAATAGGAAAATGAGCAGGAAAGAGAGAAGGAATTACCACTTGTCACTGATGTTTCCCTGTAGCAGTTTCTCCTCCCTGGATTTTGTCCGGGCTCAAAGCTGCGAGCGCAGCACCTCATCCTGAGCCCCAAAAAGGCTCCTTGCTCCACAGGGAGACCTGAAATGCCACCTCTTGCCTTGCCAGGGTGCAGGATTTGACCACCCCCCACCCTCTTTGTTTTCCAGGAAGCTCTGCCAGCCCCAGAACAGCAGCGGTTTTCAAGGAGAAGCACCTTCCCTGAGCCCTCCCAAGGACACGGTGAACTCCAGCTCTCCCCCTCAGGTGGGTGATCCCAAGCCCTGGGATCCAGCTGCTCCTGATGGATTTGGCTGCTGGAGGTGTGTCCAGGCGGAGCTGTTGCCTGTCTGCACCCTGTAATCACCTGCTGGTGGGTCGAGAGGTCGCTGGGGTTTTATCCCTGTTTTATTAAGTTGGAGCCTGATTCCGGCTTCCCTCAGCATCTGTTTCTCCTCTGATGAGGGCCTGTGGGGAGAATCCCTTACAGGTTCGGTTTTAAGGGCTGAATTCTTTTGCCAGTGCCCACATCCCTCTCAGAGTTCCTGGGAGAAGGAGCTCGTGTTTTCCTCATCACTAATAATTGAGTGGAACGAAGGCGTAATGAGCAGCTCCCCAGAGCGCTGGAGTTATTAAAATCCTTGACCTTCTGCGGCCCAATTGCCGTGACAGATCCAGGGGCAGGTCGGGCTGCTCTTGGAGGGGAGATGCCAGTGCGTGGAGAGCTGTGGAAAAAACATTTTTTTCCTGTTTTTTCCATGAGAAGAAACCATCCCCTCCCTCAAAGGAGCTTGGTGAGGGGGTGTGTGTGTGTCAGGCAGAGTCTGTCCCCACTTTTCCCAGTATCCTCTCAGCACAGGCGTTTCTCACATTGTGAAACTGCCTCCTTCCCTTCTCCACCGTGGGTCAGCCCAGACAAGTTGAGTATTTATTCTTCTCCTGCCAGTGGAATGTGTAATTCCTACTTGTCTGGACAGACGCACTGAGGATTAGTGGCAAAGAATATTAGCAGGTAAAGAAATTATGTGCTTTCTGGCAGTAAGAGGGAGGCAATTCTCTGTTGAGAACAAGGACTGTGTAACTTGTTTGCCAGGTAGCTAATTCCAAATCCTCTCCTGCTCTGCTGTGGGCATGTTCCTGGGGAATAAAGATCACCTTCAAGTTAGCTTGGAAACACGCAGTGCTGTTAACAGGCCGGGCTTGTGTGATTTTTAACTGATCCTGGGGAAAAAAAAAATAAGGTTGAGAAATCATCTTGCTTCTGGCTGGCCCTATTTTGAAAGGCTCAGAGGTCTGCAGGGGGTGGTTTTGGGTCTTTGGAGTTTGAAACTTCGGAGGATTGGCTGATTGGTTTGGATTTAGACAAGTTTCTGTTCAGAAAGGGATGGCTGCTAATGGGTGCAGTGCCAGCAGGGGACTGGGATTTGGTAGTGTGGAATGCAGAACGTTTTGGGAAAAGTTCAGCTGTGGAATGAGGGTGTTTAAAAGAAACAAAAGGCTTGGTCTGGTAATTGTGAGGCAGCCTGGCTGATGCACGTACACCTCACAACCAGGGAGGTGAAGCTGGTGTCTGTTGGGTAAAATAGGGCAGTTTGGTGGGGTTTTTGGTGACCTGTTCTGAGAGCTGCAGTCGGAGATGGCCCCTCCTCTGGGAGATGGACACTGCGTGTTCTGGGAAGTGATGTTGCAAAGCCAGTTGGGCGTGCTGGCCTTGCCCCTGGAGCTCAGTGGCACAACCGGCAGCAGCTCCTCTTCCTAATCACCCTGACAGGTGGGAAGGATCCCTGGCACGGAGCAGAGTCCTGGAGACCCCTGAGTTAGCAAAGAGGAGTAACAACCAGGGGGGAGAAGGAGCGAATCCAGGGGCTCCTCGAGCCATCACCTCTGTGATGGAGCAACATTTCCATCTGCAAACAACGTCACGGCCCTGCCTGAGACAGAAGGAAAACAGTGAATTATCCAAAAGAAATACCCAGAACTGTCGCTTGTTTTCCTCTGGGCACTAAACAATCCTTGCTCAGAGTTCCTGCAGCCCTGGAGCTGCCAGGTGGGCACACACCGAGGGCCGGCCGAGGTGATTTTGGCTGGCACACGCTGGGCTGAGCCCGACAACTGTGGTTCTGGCTCTGGGTTCTGCTGCCTGATGGATGGGTTCTTCCATGGAGCAGCTTTTCCAGGCTGGAGAGCTGCCTCCAGGGAGGTGTGGGCACATGGAGCTGCTCCAAACAAACCCTGCCTGTGACAGCCCCGCTGACGGGCACAGCTGGGAACAACTTCCCTCTCTACCCTTGTTCAGAAAAGGGTCACTCGGGTCACAGGGGCCCCTGTGACGTGGCTTTTGAAGTGCTGCAAATGTCCCCTTTTTGCCTGAAGTTCTGAGAACTGAGCAGTTGGCACTTCCTCAGCTCTTCCGGGCAATGCCTGGCTCTTGAGAAGAGGAAGGAGTGGGTTGCAGGGGTGAAGTTGGTGACCACAGAGCTGGGGGGGGCGGGGAAGAAAATGCAGAACTGGTGAATCCCCCTCCCTGCTCCACAGCTCTTGAGCACATTTTTCCTTTGCAGGGGATTTGGGGTGCTCTGAGTGTTGTGCCTGTGACCAGGACAGATGGTTTTATCGTGGAATCCCAGACTGGTTTGGGTTGGGAGGGACCTTAAAGCCCATCCATTGCCACCACTAGCCCAGGTTGCTCCAACCTGGCCTTGGACGCTTCCAGGGATGTTTCCACCCTCTGCTAATTGGCTGGGACAGGGGGAGGCTGCAGTTTGAGTTCCAAAGGGCTGGATTTGAAACAGGCTGCAGTGAGAGCGGCCTGGGTGGCGTGGCCTGTGTGTGGATAGCGTGGGAGATCAGGGATTCCTAACGGGATGGTGGGATCCTCTTCAGCTCTCCCACCAAGCTGTAAGGCTCTGCAAGGCTGTCAGGAAGCAGCTGGGGGATGGATCAGCTGCTTTTCCCCGGGAACACTCCCTTCTTCCCTGTCTCGCACCACCACCTAGTGGCAACCCTCGAGCCCTCTTCCTCATTTGCTTTTTTCCCTTTTCCCTCCTCAGAAACGATCCCAGCCTCTGGAGTTCATCGACCCCCTGGCCAACAAAAAGCCCAGGATCTCGCACCTGGCTCACAGGACCCAGCCCACCTTCAACGGGAAGCTGAGCAGCTCCTCATCCAACGGGAAGGACGCCCCCGCACCCCCCGCCCCGCCACCACCGGCGCTCCCGGAGTCGGGAAGCTCCAGCTCCAACCTCCCGGCCCTGGAGCTGCCCAGGCCTCACGACCCCCTCTCGGACGTGAGCAACGACCCCGCTCACAACGGCAGAGACTGTGAGAGCAGTGAGGCCACGGACAGGCTGAGCCACCCCCCGCCCACAGACTGTCCCCAGACCAGCAAACACAACTGCGGCTCCTACGTCAAATCCAAGAAAAAATCCAAAAAGCACAAAGACAAGGAGAAGGAGAGGAAGGAGAAGAAGGGCGAGGAGAAGTGCAAAGAGGAGAAGCAGAACTGTGAAGTAATAAAAAACGCTGACTTAGGTAGTGTTCCCCAGGAGCAGGTCACAGGTAAGGATGGGCTGAGAGGTAATTTCCGTGTTGGCTGGGTGTGATCCCGCTCCGGATCCTTTGAGGACGGAGGGAGCACGTCCTGCCCGCTCCCAGGGACCGCGGGGAACGGAATGCCAGCGCTGTCCTGCCTCCCAAATCACCAAATGGGCTTCCTCTCCAAAGAGGATATCAGGTTTTTCCTGTTTAACCTTTCGTGCTGTTTGGAGCTGCCTCAGAGCGTGTCATGTTTCTCCTGGTTAAATTAAAAGCCGGGATAATCTGTGGGGATGAAAGGCAGGGAAGAGCAGCTCCTCACGGTGCTTGTTTGTGGTGGCTGTTGTTTGGGTTTGTTTTTTTTTTTTTAATGAAAAGTTAGTCACAAAAGCTTTTAGTCTTGGATACAAATGGAGGTGATAGATAAATCTGGTGATAAGTGCCTGTTCAAGCAGTATCCAACCAGCTCGTCCAGCCTGGAAGAGCTTCCTTGTGTCCCACTTGGACTCTGAATTTATTTATTCAAGGACAGGCACAACAGTGAGTCTCGTACAAAAACCATTTTCCATAAACCACTGTTTCAGAGTCAGTTCTATGAGCTCTTAGAAGCCAGAGCAGAGAATAACTCTGGGCTAATCCCATCCACTCCCTTTCCTGCTGCTTCCATGCTTTCTGCTGTTTGTTCCAGCTCCCCAGAGCACTGGGACTTCCCCTGCAGCCTCTGGGAGTATCTTTGAAATGTCTTTTTGAATCCATCTCATTTTCCTTTGCCCTGCTGCTACTTTCCACGTCCTTCTCCGTGCCTGGTTCATGAAAATCATCCAAAAAAGGACAGCATCTTGAAATGGAGACCAATTTGTTGGATTCCTGGAAAGGAGCCATTCCCAGGGCCCTGAGGCTGAGCTGGTATCAACTCTCACCTTCCCCACAGTATTTGTAGCACCTACAAAAGCATTTTGGTGGCTCAGCAGTGATTCTGAGGACAGTCCATGGGTTGTGTGGCACTGCAGGATCAGCTTTTTAGATAATTCTTCTACTTTAACCTTCTCCGGTGTCAATCCCATTTTTTTCTGGGAGTGTTGGTTTTCTTCCCTGTTGTTTTCTCTTTTAATTTTTTTTGCCCAAATACCCCAAATCTTGAAGTTGCTGAGCCTTCCCCACCTTCTCTGCCTGGCTTCACAGCTTAGTGATTGGATTTCTGTTAATTAGTTGGGTTTTGTTCCTGCTGCTGTTTAAGAGGCAGCGAATCCCGAGCTGGACTGGGAGCAGTCACAAACAGGATGTGGTCAGTCCTGCTTGGATCCTGGACATCCAGAACTGGGAGCTTTTCCTCCTGTGCCTTTGTGCCCTGTCCTGCTCCTTCCCCACTTCCCCACTGAGGGCTGAAGGGAAATTGTTTGATGGAATGACAGAAGGTTTGGGTTGGGAGGGGCCTCGAAGCTCATCTCCCGCTAGGAGTGGAAGTTTCTCCCGGGAAGTTTCTTCCAGAGGGACCTCTGGGGTCCTCTCAGCGTCAGTAGGTGGCACTCACAGGCAGAACAAACCTCCCTGTCTCCCTTTTCTCCTCCTCGATCCTTGAGCCTTCCTTAGACCACATCCTGTGTCCTCCACGCCCTGGGCAGGAAAGGAGGGAAAACCGGGATTGTCTGCAGCGGGAATTTGAGACGGGGGTGGTTTTATAAACCCTGGGTTGGTGCCATTCTCTCATTCTGCCCAGGAAAGCCTTTCTGCAGAAATTCGGGGGGTTAAAAAACCACATTTTTTAAAAAGATCTGATGGGGTTGTTGCTGACTCAGCTTTTGTGCAGCTGCCTCTGCTGAGGACTTGGGAGCATAACCCACAGTTTGTGAGAAATACCCCTTTCCAAACCTGCATCCACTGGCTTTCCTCCTCCAGATTCCCCTGCAGTGCCTGTTCTCCACTGAGGATGGGGCTGGTTTAGGTTCCCTCCCAGTCCTGTTCCCCCTGAGGTCTTTGCTCCCATCACTGGAGCTCCTGAGCGTTCTTAGCTGAGCCTTTCTTGACGCTGAATCCACCTCCTGGAGCTGGGAGCGCTTGGATTTGTGTGAGGACAGAGCTGCCTTCCCTGCAAACCTGGGAATACCAGGAGTCTGCAGCTGGAATATTCATCTGGGAATGTGTCTGAAGTGTGGAAGCAGGGAAAAAAAAAGAACATTCACCTTGCTCAGCTCTGTCCTCTGGACCAGAACGTGTTTTCCCCATTCCCAGCGGTGCTATCAGTGTTGTCCCACTCCAGGCAGTGTTTATACACCAATTAAATCCAGATTATTTTTTTTTCTGCACTGGCTGATGTTGTGGTGCTGTTCTGCTGACAGATAAATAGTAGAGAAGCCTTGAACTTTCAGCCACCTTGTTGTGGCTCTTCTATCTCCTGCCAGTTCCAAGCAAAACAGAAATCCTTTAGAATTCCATAAACCCTGTATTGCAGACAAGTTCGTGAGTTTGAAGCTGAATTGCAAAGAGCTTTGAAGTTTAAGAACATCTGTAAACAAGCCTTTATTTTTTCAGGTTTAAATGGAACATGCAATAATTCTAGTGTACCAACATCAACTTCAGAAATGCCAGATTATTTATTGTAAGTATTTTTTATCAGTTGCTTCATCACTCTGGGATTGTGTTTCAAGCTAAAAATCACAATGCACTGGGGATTTCTGCTGGACTTTTATGTTACTTGATAGAACTTTGTAAGGTGGGTTTAAAAAAAAAAAAAAAGTAAATCCAGCTTTGCAGAATTTCTGAGACTTAACTTGGTATCAGATCAGTTCTTTGCCTCCCTGTGGAGTGTTCAGGTTTATCTCCTGTAAACTGGTGGTTGAAGTAGTTCAAGAAACATTTTATGCCTTGGAGGGGCTTGAAAGGATTGAACATCTCCATGTTACAGTTGGGAACTTGGAGAGGAAATAATCTGCTTTAATGTTATGGAAGACAAGGCAAGGAAGGATTTGGGGAGGTTTGCTAATTCTTCCCCTCTCCAGAGCCAAGATCATCTGCATAAACCAGTGAAATATTCTTTGAGGGGAGGTTATAACCCCCGGGTTGGGATGTGAGTTGTTTCACCTCTTGACTCTTTAATCAGATCCCCTCGAGGTTAATGAAACAATCCACTCCAAAAAAAAAATAAAAAAAATCCCCGTGCACAAAGCCCAGGATCTGCATAAACCCCAAACCTGTTCCAGGCAAAGCTTTGGGATGGGGGAGGAAATGTAGCTGGGGGGGACATTCCCTGTGCCAGGGGTTGGATTCCATCACCGCTGGAGGGAAGGGATGGAGCAGCAAGAGGAGGGAGTCCCTGGAGCTGCCTGGAGGAGTTAAAGGCTTCTTGTGTGGTTGCTGGTTTTCTGGGCTCTGTGAACCCCGAACAGCCCCCTCAGGGCGACACTTTTAGGGCCATTCAGAGGAATTTGGGTGGCTTGGGGGGGGTTCTTTCCCAGATGTGCTGGTCCCTCCTACAGAGGGGTATTACAGCTCCTTGGTGCCTCTCCAAAGCATCAATGGGAGGTTTCTGTGCTCTGTGGTCTCACCTTCTGGTGGGATCCAATTGTTTTGATGGCCAGATTCCAAAATTACGGGAGCTGTCTCACATTTTAAGAGCTGTTTTAATCGTGAATGTTTTATGCTGTCCTGTCCTGTGTTGATGCTTCTTTATCCCAGCTTGCAGCAAGGAGTCAGTACTTGAAGGCTAAAGCACTTAAAAAGTGCTTGAAAAGTTAAAAGAGTGAAAATTTCCCCCCTAATCTGAGGCCTAAATTACCTTCTAAGTGTTCAAGCAGGGAGCTGGGGGAAGGCAAACTCATCCCAAAAGATGAGCTTTACCTTCGGAGAGGGCTGTAAATGTCAGGTTTAATGGCTTTTTTTGTTGAGCTGAATCACCTCCAAAGGGCCCCAGGGGCACATCTGCTCAGCCCGAGCTCGTGTGTGTGTGCCGTGCCCTGCAGAAGGTGCTGGAAATGAAGTCCAGCTCCTCACCGTGCCTTCTGCTCGTGCTCTTGCCACATAATCGCCCTGAGAGCGTTTTGCAACGATGGCTCAATGCTTTTTGTGTTCCCTTAAAGGCTCAGCACTGGGAAGCAGCGTATTCCTGCTGTTCCAGTGCCTGGCACAGATGCAGAACTCCATGTTCTGCGGGACAGCAGGAGTTAGAAAAGCTGTAGCAGCGCTATCTGAGCGTCTTCCTCCACCCACAGCTGCTCCCAGGCTTTTTGTGTACCTGCATATCCCACGCTATCTGGCAGAGAGATAGGAGGGTTTGGGAGCAAACAGTGTTTTGTTCTGCAGGGAGGTCAAGGCAGCAATCCCCACGGTTACCTCCTGAATTTGCTGCTGTGGTGCAAAACCAGGAGGAGAGGAAACAGCCTCGAGTTGCACTGGAGGGGATTTAGATTGGATAGGAGGGAAAATTCCTTCACTGGAACAGGGAATCACCATCCCTGAGGGAACTGAGACACGTGGCTGTGGCACTTGGGAAGGTGGTTTAGTGGTGGGCCTGGCAGTGCTGGGGGAGTGTTGGATTTGATCTTGGAGGGCTTTTCCAACCTTAATCCCAGAAATCCCAGACCGGTTTGGGGTGGGAAGGGACTTTAAAGCTCATCCCATTCCATCATGGGCAGGGACACCTTCGCTTTGGTTGCTCCAAGCACCATCCAGCCTGACCTGGAGCACATCCAGGGCCGGGGCAGCCACATCTTCTCTGGGAAAACCATTCCAGAGCCTCCCCACCCTCACAGTCCAGCAACTCCTTCCCGATATCCCACCCAAACCATTCCCCGATTCTAAACCATCCACAACCCGCTTTTCAATCAGCCAGAGGGAATCCTCCCTGATAACCCCAATTCCCCCAAACCCTTTTTTTTTTTTTTTTTTCTCCCCCTGCAGAAAATACGCAGCCATTTCCTCCTCGGAGCAGCGTCAGAGCTACAAGAACGACTTCAACGCGGAGTACAACGAGTACAGGGACTTGCACGCCCGGATAGAGCGGATAACCCGGCGCTTCACGCAGCTGGACGCCAAGCTCAAGCAGCTTTTGCAGGGCTCTGAAGAGTACAAGGTACAAACAGGCAGAAAGAAGCTTTTTAAAAACCCCCACCCCCTTCCTGCCCCTGTCTTTTTGGGGGCCTGAATTCCACCCGGGACCGGTGGAGAACGTGCACGCAGCTGACAGCTTTTGGGGTCTAAGCCCTTCTCCCGGCTCTGTGCTGCTCCCTTTCCAGGCTGGAGCCACATCATGGGACTTGTTGACAAGGAAAGGCCTCAGTGAGACAATTGGCGTCCTCGGCCAAAAAGCTGCTGGAAGCTATTAGTGCATCCCAGCCAGAAAAACTCAGATTTGCACATATGGGAGCGTAGATCGGGGCTGCAAGGGGAGTTAGCACGGGGTCATCTGTTCCTCTGGAATCTTTGATCTTCGCAGTGCACCGTTATTGGACTTGTCAGGGTGATTTTTAGAGAGTTTCAGGCTTATTCATTAGCTTGAAAAAAGTGAGCCTGGTGGAGTGCAGTAAACGGGTTTTTACAGAGCACCTATTGTGCTGAAGCTTCCCTCAGACGTCCCTCCCTCCCCTCTCCTTGCAAAATTCAGGGATCCCTCGCTGGGTTGGTGTCATATCTTGGGAGGGGGGTGAGGAACAATCAGTTGGAGCTTTGGAAATGTCGGATTTGAGGCGCCTCTCACAGGTAGCTCTCGTAGCTGGGGAGTGGGGCCTGATCCTCCCAGTGCTTTGGGGGTCAGCTCCAGTATATCCATGGAATCAGGGACTGGTTGCAGCCATCAGATCTCCCCGGGGAAGTCGTGGAGGGAGCAGGTTCTGGTTGGAATTCAGAGGAGCTCTGTACGTCGAGCCACCAGTAAATATTTCCTGCTGCAGGAGGTCGCAGAGCTGAAAATAATAAACCTATTTTTCCCTTCTTTCTTTTCTTTTTTTAGACCATCCATGATCAAATTTTACAGGAATATCGGAAAATTAAAAAGGTAAGCGAACGCACTTGGCCACAAAAGGCTTTTGGGTGGTGCCCCTGGTGTGACTGAAAGAGATGGGCCCTTGCCAAGTGCAAACCCGGGCTCTGAGGCATTCCAGCAGATCTTTGTTCAGCTCCAGCCTGGCCAGAAAGCAGCTCAGGAAGGGTTTGGAGGGGGGAGCTGGATCCCGGGGAGCGTTCAGCCGTGGCCGTGGCACAATGGCTGGGTGAAATCAGGGCCTTTATCTCTCCAGGGAAAGAACAGTTTGTGTTTCAGATGCACAGGCTGAGGGATAACAGGATCCTCCAGGATTTGGGGGGGGGCTGGTACACAAGGTCCAGGCTGGATCAGTGTCTGGGGCACAGCCCCCAGAGTTTTGGGTGGGTGGGGCACATGAAAAACATTAAATTTCTCCACACACCAGCAGGGGTTTGGGGTTTTCCTTTTAAATCTGTTCATATGATCCTGAGCCCTGTTGTCCTGAGGGGTTTAGGAGCTTTTTGAGGAGATTCCAGAGCTCCCAGGTGTGGGCAGAGGGCAGGTGGGGCATGTTGGAAGCCCAGCTGCTCCCAGTTAGGCTGAGCCTCACTCAGGTGAGTTCACTCCCTGGGATGAGGCACCTGGAGCTGGAAAATGCTGAAAAGGGATTTTACTCCTTGCTTTGCTCCATCAGGGTGTTCAGTAATACAGGAGTAGGTCCATTTTAAATGGGTGTCTAAAAGAAGCTTCACTCCTTGGTCGTGTCAGTGGCTTCAAACTGAGAGAAAGGAGGTTCAGGTGGGATGTTGGGAAGCAATTCCTCCCTGGGAGGGTGGGGAGGGGCTGGGATGGAATTCCCAGAGAAGCTGTGGCTGCCTCATCTCTGGAAGTGTCCAAGGCCAGGTTGGAGCACCCTGGGACTAGTGGGAGGTGTCCCTGCCCATGGCAGGGGTGGCACTGAGTGATCTTTAAGGTCCCCTCCAAGTCGAACCAATCCACGATTCCACACCTTTCTCTGTGGTGGTTTGGGGGATTTTGTGAGGAATCACCTCCCACCTCTGCACTTCTCCTTTCTCTTTGCAGACTAACCCCAACTACAGCCAAGAGAAGAACCGCTGTGAATACCTCCACAACAAACTGGCTCACATCAAAAAACTCATAGCAGAGTATGACCAGCAGCAGTTTTAGCTGCCACTCCCCCCCAAAATCTTCCCCCCGGACTGGGTAGGGCAAAACAAAGCAAAACAAAACAAAACAAAAAAAAATCCAGTCACCTGGACGTTCCTTTTCCTTTTATACACCCAAATCCCTTTCAGAGGCGAGCATTAATTCCTCGTGGTTGAAGAACTTGGGGATGACTTATGATGCCGAATCATCTTGTCGTGTCCACGTCCAGCACGCTCCTCCCGAGGTTTTGGTTTTTTTTCGTTTTGGTTCTTGTTCTTTTTTTTTTTTTTTTTTTAAAAAAAAAAAAAAGCCTCTCTGAATGTTGGAATGTAACGAATGGATAAAACAAAATTAATCTGCTTATTCGAAGCCAGCGTTTGACACTTAAGGGAAAAACAAAAAAAAAAGAAAAATACAAAAAAAAACCACCAACAAAAAAAAACACCCTCAAACTTGACCGAAGCTCCCGAAGGTTAAACAACCTGTAGTTTTGGTTTTTTTTTTTTTTCATGGATTCAAAGTTTGGCATGAAGTGTAACTCCCCCTTGGCCCGGCTCCACTGGGTGTACAAATTGCCCTGCAGATGGTGAGGAACTGGAATGCTGCTCGTTGGAACGAGAGCTGCGTCTGCTCCCGGCACCGCGTAAATACACCAAGTACCCAGAGCTCTCCTTGTCTGTCCCTGCTTTGTCATCTCTTGGGATGGAGCTGGGGGTGGATGTTGGGGAGGGGTTGTGGCAGCACAGGGGGTCAGGGCATAGGTGGATTTCCCCCCAAAAATCCCCCCAAAGCCCCATTTTCTCTTCACCTGCCGGCGCGTTCCAGATCCCCCCGCAGTGACCCAGCCTGCCCTGCTCCTCCTCCCCCTGCCAGTGCTGGGGCAGACCTGTCTGGCTTTTGACTTTCTAATTTTATTAATTGCTGATGAATGAGACTCTGGTCTATTTTTGTATCCAAAAAAAAAAGGGGGGGGGGAAGGCATCTTTTTCTAGAATTGTGCCTCCCTTTTCCTCTTAGGCCAAGTGTTTCAGAACCTTCCCTTGCAGTGTTACTAAAACTTATCAAATAGTCACTCAGAGGGAGTTATTTTATTCCTGGTCCATGAGAGAAGAGGGGTGGGTGGGGGGATGCCTTGCTTTCTCCCAGGATTTTTTTTGTTGTTTGTGTGTCTTTTCCAAAGGAGCAGCAGCAAACCCTCCTCAGAGCAGTGTGAGAGCACTAAGGTGCTGTTTTCCCACACAGATCCCTTCCACTGCTGTGCTTTATCCAGCCAGCTTCTCCCTGCAGTTCTTGCTTCCTGGGGTTTGTTGTTGGGGTTTTTTTTTTCCCCCCCTTACTTTGGATTGAAGGGAACATTTTAGAGTATGGCCAGGGTGTGAGAAACACTCCAAAAAGCACAAAGGTGTCCTTTAACTCTGCCATTCCTTTCTTTCTCTCCCCTCTCCCCTTTTTAATCCTGCCAGCCTGGGGGATTTGACTTCTTCCCGCTTCCGTTTATCTCAAAGTAAAGGATTCCTTCCCTGTGGAGTCTCCTTCCCTTGGAGGTTGCACTGAAGAGGCTTTTCACCCTTTGAAGGAGCAGAATGGCAGAGTTAAAGGGGGGAAAACACTTCTTGCACGAGGAGCATTTGAGTTTTTTTTCCTGCCCCACCCCCAGAAACCAAAAGGGGTCTCATCTACTGTATTAAAAAAAAAAAGGAGAGAAAATTAACAATAACAATAATAATTCCATGATTGTCACCCAACCAAGGCCACTGCTTTGCTTTGTCACTTTATTCTGAGGTCTCTCCCTGTGCATCCAGCTGGTCAGGAGAAGGGGGATCAGCACCCCAGCAACCCTCCCCAGGGCATTCCCAGCGGGAATTTTGGGGAATGCTCCCATCCCTCCTTTCCAGATCGCACCCAGAGGTTGGGGGGGTGTTGGTGCAGCCCCACCTGCCTCCCGTGCTGCTGCTGGGCAGGGAGAGCTGGAAAACACCTCTGGAATTCCAAAGGCAAGGAGCTTTTCTCTGGGAATCTCTGTCCTCCTGCTCCCTGGAGGGGGTTCCTGGAGCAGGTGTCCAAGCTCCAGGCTCTGATCCCAGCCGGGAATTCTCGCTCCCAGGTGGAGCTGTGGGGATCTGGGAGAGGGAGGGGGGGATTTAGGAAAGGCCCAGGATGCCACAATCCCCTGAGCTGCCGGGAGACTGTCCCTGCAAATCCCAGCCGGGGATTCCATGGGTTTTGGGAATTTTCCATGAATTTCCCCAGTGCTGGGGCTTCGTTCTGACTGTAGAGGAGCGTGGAACTCGGGATGGCCGAAGAGGCAGCACCTACAAACCCAGGATGAGTAAAATTCTTCCGTGGAAAACACTTTTCCTCATCCTTAATTTTGAAAAGTTTTTTATTTGTTTGTTTTTTGGTTTTGTTTTTGTTTTTTTCCTTTTGTTGCTTGGGGTGGGGGGGGATAGAGACGGATCTCAATCTTTATACGTCTGCTATAAGATATTTTTGCAAACAGAGTTGTATACAAAGATGTATTGTGTACATTTACATGTATATTCTGGAACTTCTAAAAAATTTGAATATTAAAAAAAAAAATACAAACTGAAAATATTTAATGAATATCCAAACTGTGAGACCCAATTAGCATCCACCAACTTCCTGCTTTACTTTTCTTTTGGACTGTTAAAAGAATTGTAGTCGAATCTGCCTTTTTATTATTTTTATTTTATTTTTATTTTTTTTTGTTCCTTTTTAGAGACGACGAAGCTTAGGCAAAATTTTGTGCTTTTTGGGTTAATAGAAACCAGTTCTAGGTGATTAAGTATGATCTTAACTTATTGATACTGTGTTTTACTTTGTAATATTGTACTGTGGATAAAAACTATATTGAGCCATGGAGTTGGAGTTTACAAAAAGAGCTTTTCACTTTGCCAAAATGTTACAATTTCAAGGCAGCAGAGTCTTCAGCTTTCCTAATCTTTTTTTCTTAAGAGCTAGTGTTCTTTCTTTTTTTTTTTTTTCTTTTTTTTTTTTTTTTTTTTTTTTTTTTTGTACACTAAAAAAGCTGAATGCTGATTTTGCAACATATAATAAATTCACTGTATTGGAAAACAAGCAGACAATAAGGTTGTGGATTTCTTTTCAGTGCTTCTCCCTGCAAGGAAACTCAAAAAAGGGAAAGGTGATAAATGGCTGGCGTGGAGTTTGGGAGCAGGAAACGGGAAGGAACCGGGTCACTTGAGTGAGCTGAAGTGTCAGAGCGGGGAGTAGGTAAGAAAGAGGAGAGGGAAGAGGTGCTTGGAGTGGGCCAAGTCCTTGGAACGCTGCCCTGCCCTGGTGGGATCAGCCTCCAGGCCTGGCAGGAGCTGAGGGTCTTCCCACTCCAGCACCACTGGGGGGGTTTTTTTTTGGAGGAAAAGCTGCTTTTTGGGGCTGTGTCAGCGTGGGGGGTGAGAGGGGAGCACAGAGCCCGGACAGTCCACGACCCTGGAGCAGCAGGAGGCTCAGGGATGCTCCCAATCCATGGAGGGGGCTCTCCCTTCCCCTCCCGGGGAGCCCAGCTGGGTCTGACGCGGGGAGTGAGTCACATCCCTGGGGAGCCGGAGCGGGAATGGCAGTGCTGGAGCAGGGATGGGGGGAGATGAGCCTGGCACAGACACTGCCTGTGCACGCTGCCGGAGCTCCCACCTCCGCCCACCCGTGTGAATCATCCAGCAAAGCCTCGGGATACAAACAGCACCTCCGTTGTGTCCAGGCTGTCCCTTTCCCTGCTGTCTCCATGCCTTGCTCTGGTCCTGCCTTCGGCAGCATCCCCGGAGCAGGCGGAAGAAAATCAAGGACAAAACCACTCAGGAGTGTAAAATCCTTGGAATAGCTGCTGTTTTCCTGCTTTGGGGGCTCCCTCCAACAGCAGGTGACAGGCCCAGGCTCACAGACCACGGTGAGGGCGCTGGATCACCCCCCGTGTCATAACGAGCCCGCATTCGCTTGGATTTAGTGCCCAATTCAGGATTCTACCTCCAAAATAGCAAACTGTGGCCAAGGTGAAAATAATCCAGGGCTCAAATAACATCTCCCACAGCCTTGGCTGATTTTTGTTATCAAGGTGGGGGGAGCAGGGAGGTCTGTGCTCTGTCCTTGACCTTGGAGTGGACACAGCAGCACCAGCACCCCCACAGGGAGACGATGCTCCCAGGGCCGGTGGGACTCGGTCACGGAGCAGGAGCTGAGCTTGATGCTCTTGCAAATCCCAAAATCCTCCAGTTGTAGTTTCAGATGTTGCCTCCCAGCCAAGCTGTGCCCCCCTGAGCCCCCCTTCACCATCTTGGAGCTTCCCCCCGGGGCGCTGAGCGGATCGAAGGCCGGCTCCTGTCCCGCTGGGACGCCCGCACAGGAAGGGTCCCCATCCCCTCCCAGCTTTCCTGGGGAATTCCTCCCAACCGCTGGCAGCTCCCGGGGTCACGCACTGAGCTCATTAACTCGGAGCTGCCCCAGTGGAAATTTACTGGCTGCGTTTGCTGTGCCAGAGCCAGGCGGGCTCCTGCTGCCGCCTCCTTATCGGCACCGGGCCGGGAGCGCGGCGGGAGCACCGGGAGCATCTCCTGTTTCAGGTGTCCCTCCCGTGTGCCCAAGCCAAGCCGGGGGCAGGCTCAGGAGGAGCCTTGGACTGCGATAACTCGCTATTAATCCAGGTCACACCTGGGCAAAGTGTCACTTTACCCCGCATGGGGCACAAGGCGCCCTTAAGTCGGGGTCGTGCACGTGTGGGAAGGCCCCAGCCAGGTTTGAGGGATGCTGGAAACATTGGGACATCACTGTGTGGGTTTTTTTTTTTCCCCAGGGTATTTTCCCTGTGGGTTTTTTTCCCCCCGTGGGTTTTTTCCCCTGTGGATTTTTCCCCCCACCGTGGTTTTTTTCCCTGTGCACCTTTTGCTGGCGGCTCGTTTACAGGAGGAAGCTCATTAGAATAATTTGTCCTTGTCACGGTCCGATGGTGCTGGTCCCTCTCCCAGAGCAGCTGCTGCACCTCCAGCGCTGAGCATGACACCCCAAATCACCCCCCTCCTCCCTCCCTCCCTGCCTCCCTCCCTCCCTTCCAGGCGTGGGCCCGGCCTTGGGCAGCCGGAGGGTGATGGCACAGGGATAGGGAGGAGGATGAGGAGCTGCCAGCAGGGATAATGAAGGGTCAGAGCCTGGGATTGTGTTACACGAGGGGAAAAAACCCAAGCGTGCAGGGAGGAAAACGTGGCAGGGGAATGCTGGGGCTGTTTGTAAGGCGTCAATCGGGGGGGGGCTGACAGCGGGGCAGAGGTGGGGTGGGGGACACACACACACAGACTTCCCAGCTCACAGAACATCCCCGGCTGCTGTGGGGTCAGCCCCTGAACCTGCTTATAATGAACTCACCACGGGGTTAAGGGCACGGCCACGCGGCCTGGGGGGGGATGCGTGGCCTGGAAACCACATGGCCACGGGGTTTGGATGGAGCAGGGGGGGTTTGGATGGAGCAGGGGGGGTTTGGCTGGAGCAGGGGGTCTGGCGGGAGAAGGGGGTGGGCACCATTGCTGGGGGAGCGGGCCGGTCGCTATGGCTCCGCTGTGGCCACGCTGGCCCCCGGCCAGCCCCCGGCAGCTGGGGAGCGAAGGCGCTGGGCGGCCGGCCCGGGCTCCCGGCCCATGGACGCGCTGGGCGAGCGGGAACAAGGGAGCCCCGCTTTCTGCGGTGCCGAGCGTGGGAGGAGTGGGAAGGGAGTGGAGGGGGGTGTGGAGGGGAAGGAACAATGGTGGGAGTTATTGGGAGGGGCGAGAGAAAAAAAAATTAGGGAAAAGAAAAAAAAAAAAAAAAAAGGAAAGCAGTGGAAAAATACCAGTTCTGGGCCCCTGGCAGCGCTGCCCCGGACCCTCCCCGCCCCAGGATTATTGTACAAAGAAATGTTATTTTTGTTTCAATAATTTGCTGAGGCACTGGCATTCCAGCGCGGGGCTCGTTTTGTCCTCCAGCCCCGGCACCAAGGGATCATTGTTCCTCCGCGGCCAAAGGGGGCCGGACGCGGCCCCTCGGGCACCGCCGTGCCCTCCACCACCGCCCGCCCGGCCGCAGGTGCCCTCCGGGCTCGGCCCCGGTGGGTCCCGTCCCGCTGTGCCGTGCCGGAGGGTGGGTGGCGATGGCAGCGAGCCCGGGGGAGCGGGGTGGGTGGCGGAGGAGGGCAGAGCTGTCCTCGCCGTGTCTGCGGGGAGCGAGGGTGGGGAGGGGGGGCCGGGGCGTTGCTCGGGCTCCGGGGGTCCCTTTGAAGCGGGGCGGCCCATTGAAAGGCAGCGGGACCCCGGGGGCCGCCAGCGGGGGGCCGGACACGGCCCCTTTCTCTGTGCCACCCCCCCGGGCACCCCCCACGCTCCCCGGGCACACATTTGGGGGTTTGGGGTGCGGCCGCACACGGGGCCCGGTGCCCTCGGGCATGGCCGGAGGGACCCGCAGGGGCTGCAGGGTGAGGGGTGCCCGTGCTGGGGGCTCCGGAATGCCAGGGGCTCCAGGGGGGGCCCGTGCCAGGGCATGCAGGGTGCCAGGACTTTTGGGGCGCCCAGAGCAGGGGATCTGGGGTGCCGCGACCTTTGGGGTGCCATGACTTTTGGGGTGCCATGACTTTTGGGGTGCCATGACTTTTGAGGTACCCAGACCAGGGTTCTGGGGTGCTATGACCTTTGGGGTGCCCATGCCAGGGCTTCTAGGGTGCCGCGACCTTTGGGGTGCCATGGCTTTTGGGGTGTCCATGCCAGGGGGTGCAGGGGACCTTGACCTTTAAGTTGCCCACACCGGGGCTCCCAGGGTACCATGACCTTTGGGGTGCCCATACCGGGGGCTCTGGGGTGCCATGACTTTTGGGGTGCCGGTGCCGGGGTGCCGGGGGTCTGTGGGGTGCCGGGCTGGCAGCCGCGTGGCAGCAGCGCCGTGGGAAGGCGCCCGCGATTCCCGGGCGCAGGAAGTCGCCGTCCCGGGGCTGTCAATGGCCGGAAGGCGACGGCGGGACCCCCGGCCCCGGCCCGGGACCGGCCCCGGCGACACTTCCCCTTCCCGGGTCAGCGGCCGCTCCCCCCTCCCCAAACCCCCCCGACACCTCCCGACACCCTCCCCCTCCATCGGTGCCGTGCCCGGTACCGGAGCCCCGCACGTGCGGTGGGCTCGGGGGTCCGGGGGTCTCAGGGGTCCGGGCTGCCGGTGCCGGTGGGCACGTGCGGGGGCGGGGCCGGGCGCGGGCAGGGCCGGGGCGGGGCCGGGGCGGGGCCGCGGAGCCGATTAAGCGGCGGGAGCGGGAGCGGCCGCAGCGCGATCGCATCGTCCCCGCGGGGCAGCACCGGACACCGGGCAACGGACACCGGGCAGAGAACACCGGCACGGACACTGACACGGACACCGGCTCCGGCTCCGCCGCCTCCAGCGCGGCCCGGCCCGGTGAGTGCCCGCGGGGGCGGCGGGAGTGGCCCCCCGGAGACGTTCGGGTTTGCGACCCCGCGGGGGCGGCGGCGGGCCCGGATCCGTGTCCTCCCGTGCCCTCGGCAGGGTCCCCGCGTCCCCCGGCACCCCCCACGGGTGCTGGGACATCTCCTGTCCCCAAATCCCCTCTCCCCGTGGAGGCGCGGACAGCCCCTGTCCCCATGTCCCTTGTGCCACCCCGGGGTGCTGGGACAGCCGCTATCCCCGTGTCCCCTCTGCCACCCCCAGGAGCAGGGGCAGCCTGGGACAGCCCTTGGAGTGGGGTCAGCCCTGGTTCCCATGTCCCCTGCCCCATCTGTCAGGGTGTAGGGACAGCCCCTGTTCTCCAGTTCCCTGCGCTCCCTGGAGCTGGGACAAGCCCTGTCCCCATGTCCCTGCACCCTTTGCACCCCACGGTGTAGGGACATCCCTGTCCCCACATCCCCTGCACTCCTTGGAACCCCTAGAAGCAGGGACAGCCCTGGTCCCCATGCCCCCTGTGCCACCCCAGGGTGCAGGGGGTCCTCGTGTCACCTGGGAGCGACCTCTGTCACCCCCAGGGAGTGAGCACAGCCCTGATCCCCATGTCCCCCACACCCCCGGATACCCCAGTGTGCAGGGATACTCTGGGAACATCCCTACTCCCCCATGGCCTCCTGTGGCCCCTGCCACCCCCAGGGAGGGGACAGCAGGGACAGCCCTGAGGGGACCCTGCATCCCTCGGCTGGCTGGGGGCTCCAGGAAGTCCCAGGGCGGGGGTCTCACCCCCCCCTGCTCCCTGCCTGTCCCGGGGGCAGCAGCCGGTGTCGGGACACGGGTGGGGAGGGGCTGCGGTGGCCGTCCCAGTGCCACCACCACGCTGGGAGGGCAGGGAGCCAAGAGTCCCCACTGGCCACACAGCCACGTCCCGGCAGGGCGGAGGGCCCGGGGGGGAGGGGGTGGGGGTGGAATTCGGGGTGGGGGAGCCCAGCGTGCCAGGCCAGCGGTGCTGACACCCATTTCCTCCTATTCCAGCTCCAGGAACAATGGCAGAGCCGTTCCTCGTGGAGAGCCCCAACGTCACCTACAGCAAGGACTTCATCGAGGCCAAGTACACGTACAGCACCGTGCACGTCTGCAAGGAGAACGGCGTCACCAAGGTGGGCGGTGGGAGGGGGCTCGGGGGGTCCTGGGGGCTCTGTGCTCGTGCCCAGCTGTCCCCTGTGTCTGTCTGTCCCCCGTGTGTGTCTGTCCCCAGGTGCGGCCGTGCTCCACCCACTTCACCTTCCGCACGGCGCGGCAGGTCCCGCGCCTGGGGGTGATGCTGGTGGGCTGGGGGGGCAACAACGGCACCACGGTGACAGCGGCCGTGCTGGCCAACAAGCTGGGGCTGTCCTGGATGACCAAGACCGGGTGCAAGGTGGGTGTCCCCGGTGGGACCCCAGAAAGGGGAAGGGGGGTGTCCCCAGTGTGACCCTGGACTCCAGTGAGGTGGGTGTCCCCAGTGAGGTGGGTGTCCCCAGTGTGACCTCAACAAAGGGGGTGTCCCCAGTGTGCCCTCAAAAGGACGGGTGTCCCCAGTGTGACCCCAGAAAGGATAGATGTCCCCAGTGTGACCTCAGCAGGGTGGGTGTCCCCAGTGTGACCTCAGCAGGGTGGGTGTCCCCAGTGTAACCCCAGAAAGGACGGGTGTCCCCAGTGTGACCTCAGCAGGGTGGGTGTCCCCAGTGTGACCCCAGAAAGGGGTGTGTCCCCAGTGGGATCCCAGCAAAGGGGGTGTCCCCTGTGTGACCTCAGTGGGGTGGATGTCCCCAGTGTGACCCCAGTAAGCGGGAGCATGACCCCAGCAAAGTCCTGGGCCCCAGGGGCCGTCCCACAGGGATGGGGACACAGAGCTCAGCTGCACCTTTGTCCTGCACCCCGGTTTGGAGGTGCCGGGACCCCCCTACTCCCCACGCCAGCGACTCATCCCTGCCCTCTCCATCCCAGAAAGCCAACTACTACGGCTCCCTGCTCCAAGCCTCCACCGTGTGCCTGGGCACCGGCCCAAACGGCGACGTCTACGTGCCCTTCCGGGACCTGCTGCCCATGGTGCACCCCAACGACATCATCTTCGACGGTAGGTGGGGCACCGTGGGTGGGGGGACACCCCATAGCGTGTGTGTGTGTGTGTGGGGTCACCCTGAGCGTTTGGGTCACACCGTGTCCCCCAGGCTGGGACATCTCCTCGCTGAACCTGGCGGAGGCCATGAGGCGGGCCGAGGTGCTGGACTGGCCGCTGCAGGAGCAGCTCTGGCCCCACATGGAGAAGATGAAGCCCCGGCCCTCCATCTACATCCCCGAGTTCATCGCCGCCAACCAGGAGGAGCGGGCGGACAACGTCCTCCAGGGCTCCATGGCTCAGCAGGTCCCGGGGCAGGGGGTGGCACGGGGTGAAGGGGGAGGATGGAACACACAGGGCCACGGGGAGGGGTCACCACGGCCCTGACGCGTCCCCTCGGCCGCGCCCCAGGTGGAGCAGATCCGCAGGGACATCCGGGACTTCAAGGAGATCACCGGGCTGGACAAAGTCATCGTGCTCTGGACGGCCAACACGGAGCGTTTCTGTGACGTCGTGCCGGGGCTCAACGACACCGCCGAGAACCTGCTCAGGGCCATCGAGGTCGGCCCACGGGGCGAGGGGGGTCGGCAGGGGGATGCCCCCCATCCTCCCTGGTGGCACTGAGCTGTCCCCTGTCCCCCGCAGAAAGGCCTGGAGGTGTCCCCGTCCACGCTCTTCGCCGTGGCCAGCATCCTGGAGGGCTGTGCCTACATCAACGGCTCCCCCCAGAACACCTTCGTGCCGGGGGCCGTGGAATTGGCCGCCCAGCGCCGCGTCTTCATCGGCGGCGACGACTTCAAGTCGGGTCAGACCAAGCTCAAGTCGGTGCTGGTGGATTTCCTGGTGGGCGCCGGGCTCAAGGTACGTGCAGGGGGCAGGGAACTTTCCTGGGGAGGGGGTTGGTCTGGAAGGTGGCAGGGGGTGACTTGGCCCTCGCCCCCCTGCCCAGACCAAATCCATCGTGAGCTACAACCACCTGGGCAACAACGACGGCAAGAACCTCTCGGCGCCGCAGCAGTTCCGCTCCAAGGAGATCTCCAAGAGCAACGTGGTGGACGACACGGTCCAGGCCAACCCCATCCTCTACGGGCCCCAGGACAAGCCCGACCACTGCGTGAGTTGGGGGGGCGCGGGGGGTGACACGCGGGCAGGGGGTGACACGGTGGAGGTGACGGGGCCGTGGCTCGGCAGGTGGTGATCAAGTACGTGCCCTACGTGGGGGACAGCAAGCGGGCGCTGGACGAGTACACGTCGGAGATCATGATGGGCGGCACCAACACCATCGTCATCCACAACACCTGCGAGGTGCGTGGGGGGCGGCCGGGCTGTCCCCGCGGTGTCCCCTCGGTGCCAGGGGGTGGCTCCTCACACACCCTCCCACCCCGTTGGTGCCCGCAGGACTCGCTGCTGGCCAGCCCCATCATCCTGGACCTGGCCATCCTGACGGAGCTGTGCCAGCGCATCACCTTCTGCACCGAGGCCGACCCCGAATTCCAGGGCTTCCACAGCGTCCTCTCCATCCTCGCCTTCCTCTGCAAGGCCCCGCTGGTGCCTGAGGGCACCCCCGTGGTCAACGCGCTCTTCCGCCAGCGCAGCTGCATCGAGAACATCCTGAGGTACCCGGGGGGTCCCCGTCCTCGTGGGCACCGCATCCCACCCACCCACCCATGGGTCCCAGTGCTAGCGGGTCCCAGTGCCCAGAGTTCCCAACTCCAGTGGGTCCCAGTGCCTAATTAATGCCCACGGGTTCCCAGTGCCTGGGGTGCCCCATTCCAGTGGTTCCCAGTGCCCAGCATTAATGGGCCCGAGCACCAGTGGGTCCCAGTGCCCAGTGCTTGGGATGCCCAACTCCAGTGGGTCCCTCGAATGCCCACCCCATGCCCCCAGTTCCCCACACACCATGTCCCCCCCCCAACTGTGGGTACCCGATGCCATCCCCACCCCTCCCCTGTTCCCCAGTTTCGGGGTGCCCAGCCCTGACCCCTCCTCTCTCTCTGCACCCCCCCAGGGCCTGCCTGGGGCTGCCCCCCCAGAACCACATGCTGCTGGAGCACAAGATGCAGCGACCGGCCCCCAGCCCCAAACGTGCCTGTCCCGGGGGGGCCTCCTGCCCCCTGGCCCCCAAGAAGACCCCGGTGCCCACCCAGCTCAACGGGCACCCCTGTGCTCCGACCGGGCCCCCACACCCCCTGCACGTCGACGGGGCCGACTAACACCGACTGCCCTTTCTATTTCGTATCAGCTTTTTAGGGGAATGGAGGGGGTTGGATTTGGGGAGGGGGCCTGGGGAGGTCCAGGAGTTGCCCCCTCCCCCCGCCCCCAGACGCCGCCGACGACTCCAAACTGTGAAGCTTCGTACCCGCCAATAAACCCGGAGCACAGCGAGACCCCCCCGCCTCAGCTGCTTCCTGGGGGGGCTCTCACCGGGGTCTTGGGGTCCCCTCAGCTCCTTCCTGCTTCCCCTTCACCTGGGGTCCCCCTCCCCTGGTTCCTTGGGGGGCTCCTCACGTGGTTTTGGGGTCCCTTTCACCTGGTTTTTGGGGTCCCCCTCACCTTGTTTTTGGGGACACCTCACCTGGTTCTTTGGGGTGTCCCCACCTGGTTTTGGGGTCCCTCACCTGGTTGCTGGACCCCCCCCATCCCTTAAACGCCCCCCCTCCCCGAGACCCAAATGTCAGCTTCTGAAAAAAAATCAAATTACATTTATTGATGCGGGGGGAGGGGGTTGGGGGAGTGTTTTTTTTTTTTTTATCATTTTAGGGGATTTTAATATTTTTTCTTTTTTTTTTTAAATTTTTTCTTTTTGATAATTTTTTTGGGGAGGGTTCCCCATTTTGTTTTGATAAGCAATGGGGGGTGTCTGAAGGCTTAGAAATGAGGGGGTCCCTACACAGAATGACTACACCTATTTTGGGGGGATACCCTATGGGGCTGGGGTTGCCCCCACCTCAGGGTGGGGGCTCACAAGGGGTCCCCTGGTGTGGGGCTGTACAGGGAGGGGACCTGGGTGCACGGCGGCATTTTTGGGGTGGTGGTGGGTGGGTTTGGGGTTTGGGGAGGGGGTTTGAGGTCCTTTCTGTTATAAAAGAGGAAAAAATCAGAAAAAAAAAAAGAGAGAAAGCAAAAAAAAAAAAGAAAACCAAAACCACACACACACACAAAAATTCCTTCATATTAAAGTGGTCCCTGGGGAGGGGTGGTTGGGGGATGGGGGGCCCTGGTCTGGCGCTCAGGGGGCTGGGGATCACAGTGCTGGCTGAGCACACAGACGGGGCTGGGGGATTTGGGACCCCGGGGTTTGGGGGCGAGGGGGCTGCTCTCTGCACTGGGACCTGCCCTACTGAGCTCTTGGAGGGGGGCTGCATGGGGGTATGGCTTGGCCCCCACTCTTTCCCACCCCCCACCTCCAGCACAGCTTGGGGTGCCTCTGGATTGTGGGGGGAGGGTCCTGCACCCACACTGGGGGGGCTGTGCTGGCGGTTTAACCCCCCCCCCCCCAAGGGCTTTGGCAGGGCTGGGGGGTGGCTGTGGGCCCCCCCATTGTGGTTTGGGGGGGCACTGGGAGAACTGGGAGGGGGGTCACACCCTCCCAGAATGGAGGGGGGCATCATATGGGGGGGGGGGGCGTCTGGCACCCCCTGCCCTGTAGGGAGGGGGGCACAATGTCATGGAAATCCCTTAAAATACCCCCTCCCCAGGCTGGTACCACCCCGAGGAGGGGGTAAAACACCCCTTAACAGCCCCTCCTGCACCCCCACAGTGCCAGACACCCCCCCCAGCACCCCTGGGGAGGGGGGCGCTGCAGTTGGGAAGGGAGGGAAGGTTTCCCAGTGCTGGAGGTGGAGTGGGGGGCAATAAATGGGGTCCCAGTACATGGCAGGGGGGGCTCCCAGTGCTGGGGCCGGAGGTGTCAGTCCCAGTACTGGGAGAGCTCCCAGTTCTGGGGTTTGGGGGGTTGTCCCAGTGCTGGAGCAAGAGGGTGGTGAAGGTGGTGGGTGGGGGTGTCCCAGTGCTGGGAGGGGGGCAATCCTCACCCCAGGAAGGGGAGTGGGACTGGGGAGATGGGGAAGGCGGGGGGGGATGTGTCGGGCAGCAAATAAGTCACGTGACTTATTTCTAATCATCATTATTATTTTGTTTTGTTGTTTTTTTGTTGGTTTGTTTTTTTTTTTCCCCGCGGGCGTTTCTGTTCCATTTTGTTTTTTTTTTTTTTGTTGGTAATTTTTTTTTTCTGCTCCTTTAGTGTTTTTGTTGTTTTTTTGTTTTGGTTGTTATTTATTTTTTGGGGCGGGCGGGGCGGGGTGGCGAGATCGTTATAATTAACGAATTGTTTTGTTTTCGTTTTGGGGTGGTATTTTTTTTTTTTTGTGGGTTTTTTTTTTTTGGGGTTTTTTTTTTTTCGGTGATGGGTGAGGGCGTCTGGCTGTCGGCGGGCTCGGCGCGGGGCTCACCGCTCATTGTCATGCTGGGCGAGTACTACAGAGAGAGCGGAGACACCACAGGGTTAGCGGGGCGGGCGGGGAGTCCGCCTGGGGGCGGGGGCGCACACACGAAGCCCCCTTTCCCCTCGCCTCCCAGGGCTGGCCCCGCGCCGCTGGCACAGTTTGGGGGCTCGCCAGTGGGGTTTGGGAGTGGCTGACGAACCCCCGGCCTCGGCCCCGGCCCTGTCCCGGCCGCTGCCGCCGCTGCCGCCGCCGCGCCCCCACGGGCCCCCGCCCTCGCCGCCTGCCCCCGGGGGTCCGCGGGGTCCCCGCCGGGTCCCTTACGCTGTCGCTTGGAAGGGATTTAGGAAATTGCTGCTCAGCTCGGCGTCGTCCCGAGGGGTCCCGGGGGGGTTGCTCAGGGCCCCCAGGTTACTGGGGGAGCTCTGGGGAAAAGGAGGGGGAGAAAGGTTAGTGAGGGAGGGGTGATATAAGGGAGGGGGCTTGGTGGTGGGGGGAAATAAGGGGGTCCCGTTAGGGTGGGAGGATCCCAGGGTATTGTGGGGGGGATAAATGGGGTCCCAGTGCATGGTGAGGGAGGATAAATGGGGTCCCACTGGGGTGGGAGGATCCCAGGGCATTGTGGGGGGGGATAAATGGGGTCCCAGGGCATTAAGGGGGCACTAAATGGGGTCCCAAGGCACTGGGTGGGGGGGTTCACAGGGTATTGGGGGAGGGAGAAATAAGTGGGGTCTCAGTACAAGAGGCAGGGCAATAAATGGGGTCCCAGTATATGGGGGGGTGCCAGTACATGGGCAGTCCCAATAAATGGGGTCCCAATACATGGAAGGAGAGTGTCCCAGTACATGGGGGATCCCAATAAACGGGGTGCCAGCACTCACCTTTGGCAGCCCATCCATGTCCCCGGAGCCTGCCGGGATGACAGGGGGGTGTTAGTGACCCCCAGTCCTTGTGTGTCCCTCCCAATCCATCTGTGTGTCCCCCCAATCCATCTGTGTCCCCCCAATCCATCTGTGTGTCCCCCCAATCCATCTGTGTCCCCCCAATCCATGCATCCCCCAAACTGTCCCACCAATCCATTTCCACCTTCCACCCCACATGCCCCGCCCCCAACAGATGGAGCTCAGGTCCCACAGGATTGGGGGGTCCTGGGGGTGCTGGGGTGGGGGACACAGGACCCCCCCTTGTCCTGGGGGGTGGCTCCAGAGGGGGGGAACACCCACCTAGGGATCCGTTCATGTGATGCGGCTCCATCGCGCTCATCCCGCCCATGGGCCCCTCGGGGCCAGGCCCCATCGGGAACTGGAAGGGAAAAGGGGGTGGTGAGCAAGGTGAGGGGGGATTAGAAAAGTTGGGAGGGGTCCCTCTGTGTCCCCCTGTCCCCCCATCCCTGTCCCCCTCCATGCCATCGCTCACGTTCGGCCGGTTGCCCGCGGGTCCGATGGGGTTCATCATGGTGTACATGTTCTCACTGGAGTTGGTGGAGTCTGGGGTGGGGTTTAAAACACATGGTGGGGTGGGGGAGGTGAGTGTGGCCCCCCAAGTCCCACTCGCCCCACCCCTTCCCCCCAAAACAACACCCTACCCCATCACTCACCTCCGGGGCTGGGTAGGATGGGGGTACCGGGGGGGCCACCACCCCCGGGGGGGCCCTGAGGGGGATAAAAGGAGAGAGGGGTGGGTTAGGGGGGCACAGGGGCTCATCTGAAGCCCCCCCTCCCCATCCCCCAAAGTGCACCCCGATACTCACCACGTAGTTCCCAGGGGATGAGGAGGAGTAGGCGATCTGGGGGGGACAAAGGAGGGGGTCAGCATGGGGGGCAATGGGGTCAGGAGCCCCCCCAAGGTGTTGCCCCCCTGCTAAAACTTACAGAGTTGGCGTTGGGGTTGGGCCAGGGCCCGCGGCCACCGGGACCCCTGCAAGGCAACGGGGAGAGTCAGGGGGGTCCTGCCGGCCCTGGGGCACCCCCTGCCCTGGGGGGGTTGTGGGGGGCACAGAGGAGGCACGAGGGGGTCTTACATGTTCATGGCAGGCATGCCAGGACCGGCCAGCGAGCTGGGGGGAGGTCGCATCCCACTGCCATAGGTCTGCCGGGAGAGGGGGGGTCAGCAGGGTTGGGACACGCCTGACACTGTCCCCATCCCTGTCCCCAACCTCATCCCTGTCCCCAAACTCCATCCCTGTCCCAAAACCCATCCCCGTCCCTATATCCCCATTCCCAGTCCCCCCTCTGTCCCCACCTGTTTCCCTGACCCCATCCCCATCCAAACCTTCTTGCTTCCAACTCCATCCCTATCCCTGTATCCTTATTGTGCCCATCCCTGTCCCCAGTCTCAATCCTATATCCCCATCCCCGTCCCTGTGTCCATTCCCATCCCAGCATCCCCGTCCCTGTGTCCATTCCCATCCCAGTATCCCCATCCCTGTGTCCATTCCCATCTCAGTATCCCTATCCCTGTGTCCATTCCCATCCCAGTATCCCCGTCCCTGTGTCCATTCCCATTCCAGTATCCCCATCCCTGTGTCCATTCCCATCCCAGCATCCCCATCCCTGTGTCCATTCCCATCCCAGTATCCCTATCCCTGTGTCCATTCCCATCCCAGTATCCCGTACCTGGGGTCCCATGCCGGCCATGCCTCGGGGGGGGTTCATGCGCTGCATCGGGCCCCCCATTCCAGGATGTCCTGCACAAATTTGGGAGAGGGGGAGGGCGTGAGACCCCAGATCCCCTCCCCCCCAACAAACCCCCCCTGGGGGGCCATGAGGGGACAGGGGTGGGGGGACAGGGACTCCTGGACTCACCCTGTGACCGCGTAGCCGGGTCCATGGCGTTGGGCAGCAGTGGCTGCGAGCCGGGAACACCCACGGGGGGCTGTGGAGAGGGGGGCGGGGGGTCAGGGTGCTGGGAGACCCCCACCCAGGGGGGTCTGCACCCCTGTTTTGGGAGGGGAGGGGAGTCCTGGCATCGACCGCCTCACCTGGTTGGGCATCCGGAGTGGGGGCCGGGGCCCGCCGGGGTAGCGGGGGGACATGAAGGGCTGCAAGAGAGGGGGGTTTGGGGGTGAGCTGGGGCTGGGGGTGTCTGTGTCACCCTGGGGGAGGGGCAGAGGGGGCTGGGGAGGTGCTGGGAGGCTGGGGGCTGTGCCCAGGCTTATCTGGGGGCGTGGCCCCAGTTAGGGGTGGGGGGCAAAGGGGCTACCCATGAGAGCCTTGAAGAGAAACACAGAGGGTGGGGGGCTGGGGTGACCCCTCGGGGGTGTGACCCCTGGGGGGCTGAGGGAGTCCTGTGATCCCAGGGGGGCAGCTGTGACCCTGGGGGGTGACCTCTGGGGGGGCACGGGGCTGGTACCAGCCTGGGACGGGAACGGGGTGGTGGGGGGGGCCAAGATTGTGTAACACCCCCCCCCCAGAACATGCTAAGGACATGCAGGGCTCACATGGGTGCACACGCTAAGCCCACACATGGTTCATGTGTGCACACGCTAAGCCCACACATAAATCACATGTGTGCACATGCTAAGGACACACGGGGCACATGTATGTTCACATGCTAAGCACACACGTGGCTCACATGTGTGCACATGCTAAGGACACACGGGGCACATGTATGTTCACATGCTAAGCACACGCATAAATCACATGTGTGCACATGCTAAGGACACACGGGGCACATGTATGTTCACATGCTAAGCACACACATAAATCACATGTGTGCACATGCTAAGGACACCACGTGGGCACATGTATGTTCACATGCTAAGCACACACGTGCCTCACATGTGTGCACATGCTAAGGACACACGGGGCACATGTATGTTCACATGCTAAGCACACACGTGGCTCACATGTGTGCACATGCTAAGCACACACGTGGCTCACATGTGTGCACATGCTAAGGACACACGGGGCACATGTATGTTCACATGCTAAGCACACGCATAAATCACATGTGTGCACATGTTAAGGACACACGGGGCACATGTATGTTCACATGCTAAGCACACACATAAATCACATGTGTGCACATGCTAAGGACACACAGGGCACATGTATGTTCACATGCTAAGCACACACGTGGCTCACATGGGTGCACATGCCAAGCACACGCACGGTTCACGTGTGCACATGGTAAGCAGACATAACTCATGTATGTGAACATGCTAAGGACATACATGGTTTATGTATGTTGACACACCAAGCACACACAGGGTTCATGTATGTTGACACACCAAGCACACACATGGTTCATGTATGGTGACACACCAAGCACACACACGGTTCATGTATGTTGACACGCTAAGCACACGCGTGTCCCCGAGCCCCCCGGGCAGTACCTGGAAGAAGGCGGGGGGCACAGGACCCCCGGCCATGCCGTCCCCGGGGGGCAGGTTCCCCATCACCGGGCTGGGCGCGGCCGCCGCGCTCTGGGGGGGGGGACAGAGAGAGCTCAGGGCCTGGGGGGGGTCCCTGTCACCCCCCACTCCCGGGACCACCCCATCCCCGTGTCCCCATCCCTGTGTCCCCGTCCCTGTGTCCCCATCCCCGTGTCCCCATCCCCATGTCCCCATCCCCATGCCCCCATCCCCGTGTCCCCATCCCTGTGTCCCCATCCCTGTGTCCCCATACCAGCACCCAGCCCCGTTCCCCTCCCAGCCGAACTGGGGGTGTGTGAGACCCCAGGGTGTTGGGGCTGGGGGTGCGGGCAGGGGGCCCTGGTCCCCCTCTCTGGCCGGGCCCGTCCGGGGGGAGCTGTTAAGGGAAGGAATGTGCCGGTTTTCCGGCTCGGCCCCTCCGCCACAACTGGTTTCAATTTGGAGGGAAGGAGGAGAAAGGTGGGGGTGGGGGGGACACCGTGCTGCCCCCTCCACCCGGGGGGCCCCACGGCCCCTCCCACCAACCCTGAGGGGATGGGGGGGCCCTGACTGTGTTGGGGGTGCGAGGGTCGCCCACTGGCGAGGATGCCGGTGCCCGGTGTGGGGAGGGGGATTAGGATGGTGAGACCCCCCCAGGGGCCTCCTGTGGGGGTCACAATATGGACATGGGTCATGCCAGCAGCCGGGTCATGACTGGGACATGGGTGACACCTGGGATCGGGGTGACACCAGGCACACCCACAGGTGACGGTGCCCAGGGGAGCCCAGATGGGGGTCTAGGTTCCATGGGGGGCATCTCAGGGCTCGGGGGGGTGTCCTGGGTCCATGTGACCTCTTGGGGATCCCCCACTCCTGCCCCATGACCCCCTGCCCACAGTGGGGCTACTGCTGCCCCCCCAGTTCCTGCCCCCATGCCTGCTGCCCACCCCCCCCACCATGGCAGGGACCAAACAGGGACCCCCTTCAGCCCCCCCATCACTCAGTGATGCAAAGCAGAGTTGCCATGGCAACAGGTTGGGGAGTTTTGGCTCTTCCTGTGGGCTCAAGGTCAGGAGGGAGAAATCTGAGGGGGGCGGGCACATGTGGGGGCTCCCCACACACCCTTGGGGCACCCCAGACCCCTCTGTGGGGTGGCTGCTGCCACTGCCCCCCCACCAACTGCTGCTCACAGGCCGGACCACCCCCCTTCCCCCGGTATTATGGGGTCACCAGCCCGAGGGTTGTCATGGGGGGGCGTACTGGGAAGTCTGGGCCCCTTTGGGGATGGGTACTGGGAGCTCTGGGTACATCTGTGGGGTGACTGGGTGCCTTGGTGGAGGGGGCAACTGGGAGACTGGCACCCTTTTTGGGGCATTACTGGGAAGCCTGGGTGCCTTTTGGGGTGTGTGGGGGGCAACTGAGATGTCTGAGTGCCTTTTTGGGGGGGGGGCTGCAGCAGCAACACCCCCAGGAGGTGGCACTGGGACCCCCAGTTCACCCAGTCTGGGTGGTCGACGGGCACCAGTGTGGGGAGGTGGGTGTGGGGCACCCCACGGGGCGCAGGGGGTGCTCAGGGGGTGCTCAGGGGGCTCCCCCCACCCCTCCCCTGGCAGTCCCCAGCTCTGCCAGGCAGCAGTGCCATGGCAACGTGGCCTGACCCGCGCCGTGTCCCCGGCGTCACCGGCCCCGCACCGGCAGCCTCATTAATTCCAGCATGGAAATCAGCTCTGCGCCGCTCCGGGGGCGGGGTGGGTGGGGAGGAGCAGGGGGTGGTCCTGCTGCAGCCCCCGTGGCGCTGCCACAGCCACGAGTGGGCCCACAGGGACCCCATGGTGCTGAGGGGGGGTGTCCCACCATGTCCCACAGCCCGTGGGGAGCAGGTCCCTCAGGGTCCTGCATCCATGGGGCCGTGGATCCTGCAGCATCCTGCCCCCCACTGCACCCCCCATGGCACCACGGATCCCACTGCATCCTCGCAGCCCCTCGTGGCCTTCACGTCACAGCATCCCATATCCTGTGGGACTGTAGACCCCGGAGCATCCCACAGCATCCTGCATCCCAGAGCATCCTGCATCCCACAGCACCCTGGACTCCACAGCAGCCCACATCCCACAGAACTGCCTATCCCACTGCATCCACCCCAAAGCCTTCTGTATCCCACGGCATCCTGCACATCAGAGCATCCTGCATCATCCTGCATCATCCTGCATCCCACAGCATCCTGCATCCCGGGGGACTGTGGACCCTGCATCATCCCACACCATCCTGTGGAACCTGCATTGTCCCACAGCAGCCTTTACCCCACAGCAACCCCGTGTCCTGTGGGGCTGTGGGCGCTGCATCATCCCACAGCATCCTGCATCCCACAGCATCCTGCATCCCACAACATCCTGCAGGGACACGGATCCTGCACCACCCCACAGCCCTGCAGCATCCTGCATCCCAGCAACCATCCCAGGTGCCCCCTCTGTGCCCCTGGACCTGCTTCCCCTCTCCTGCCCCCACCCCCCGTGCCCTCCCCCCCTGCTGCCGCAGTCCCGGCAGCCCCAGGCACACGGACACGCCGGGAACACCGGGAACACTGGGAACACCGGGGGCTGTTGACTCTGTGCCAATGATTAACCCGCTGGAGCTGCCTCCAGGAAACAGCAGAGCTGCCTGATAAGGGGGGGGTGTCCCCCAGTGTTGGGGGGTCCCACTGAGCCCCAATGAGCCCCCCAGGACACCGGGTGAGAGGGGGGGACACCCCTGTTCTGTGCCCACACCGTGGCATGGGGGGGGTTGGGGGGTGTCCCTGTCCCCTGGAGGGGGGGGTGACAATGGGGGATGGGCACGCCAAGGCACGCCGGGGTCCCTTGGGGGGGTCAAAGCAGGGGGGGGCACTGAGTCAGGCCCCCAGGGATTACCCCCCCTCCTCCCTGCCCTGCGAAATAGGTCACCCACAGATCCGGGGCTGGCAGCACATGGGAACCCCGGCAGGGGGGGTGAAGGGGCAGCAGGGCACGGACCCCCCCCCCCCTCCCTTCCCCATCCCAATCCCGCGGCACTCACGTAGTCATGGAAGGCTTTGGCCTCGCTGGAATGCTCACAGGTCTCCCGGCGATCCGGGGCGGCACAGTACAGGTCCCAGAAGACGCTGGGAAAACGGGAATGAGGAAGGGGGGAGTTGGGGGGGGAACAGCGGGTGAAGACCCTCCCCCACCAAATATACACCCCCCCTGGCTGAGCACGGCCACACTCGTGTCACCGATGATGCCCCGGGGCTCATGGGGAGGGGGGGTTGTGTCCACACCCCCCCCCTCCTCGGCGGGGGCCTCCCGGCTCCAGCGCTGCCGCCTGTTTTCCCTGGAAACGGTCGCTACGGCCGGAGCCCAAATTCCTGGGACTTTACATCAGGCTGCAGCATCCTGGGGCGGGATGGGGAATGGGGGTGGGGCTCCCCTGCCACGCCCCCACCCTGGTTGGGGGAGCTCTGAGGGGCAGCAGAGGGGCTGGCTCTGCCTCTGGGTGCCCCTCCATCCTTCTCCTCCAGATTTGGGGGGGGTGCTGGCCTGGTGCCAGCTTAACCCACCCACTCCCCCCCAAATTAAGGGGTTGGAAGGCTCCAACATCCCCTCACTGTGTATCCCACCCCTCTCAAATCACCAATTAATCTCTTATCGCTCCCTGAGGCCCCCAAATGATGCCCCCCTCTCCCATCCCCATCACCCCCGGAGCTCTGTGGGCCCCTCCCAGCACGGGGGTCCAGCCCTGGACTAGGGGCCCCCCTCCCCAACTCAACTCCACTCTTGGTGCCAAATTGGATCCATCTGGAAGAGCCAGGAGAGGGGGCCGGGATGGGAGGGAAAAGGGGAGGGGGGAGCCCCCAAATCGCTGATGGGAAAAGCAGAGCGGCAGCTTTATGGGGTACGAGGTGATGTGGTGGCAGCACAGGGAGGGGGGAGGCCCCCAGACCCTTCCCAACCCCCCCTGCTGTGGCAAAGGGAGGGTTCACCCCCTTCCCAAAGTCCCCCCCAGACCCCAACTCACCACCACCAGGAGTGCAGGAAGCCAGGGGGCTCCCCCAGCGTGATGTTCTTCTCCCATCGGATCTGCCGAGAGGGGCACGGGGAGGGGGGGTCAGCACCGTCCCCACAGCCCCGGGGGCGGGCTCGGGGCACCACGGGGGTGGCATTGGGGGGGTCTGGGGGTGTTGCCCCCCCTCTCCTTACCTCCGACAGGAAGGTCTGGGCGGATTTCTGGGCCCCCACGTGCAGCAGGTACTCGTAGACGTAGAGCGCCAGCCTGGGGGACAGGGATGGGGACAGGGATGGGGGGGCTCAGGACCTGCCACTCCCCCATGGTGACACCCCCACCCCACAGACACTGAGGGACACGGTGAGGGGGACAGAGATCAGGATGGAGCCCCCAAGTTCAATTAGTGCGGGACTAACGAGGGGGATGCGATGTCACCTCCCTGCCAGGGACCCCCCCCCCCGGGCATCACGGTGGCACTGGGTCCCACTGGGGACACTGAGTGACTCCCACCGGGTGGCAACCGGTTCCAGCCAGTGGGGTGACTCTGGGACAGGTGACACATCCCACGCAGGATGTGCCCAAGGGGCAAGTGCCACCACGGATGTCCCCAGAGGACCCCGGGGCCTGGTCCCCGGTGCTCCATCACCCCCAGGAGAAGGGAAGGGGACCCGCGGCGACCCCCCGGGGGTGGCCGGGGGTGGGAGGACCTTGGTGGGGTGCAGGTCCGACCCTCCCCAGCTCCGGGGGTGCCCCGGGGACCGTGGTGGTCCTGAGCACCGGGATATGGCAGGACAGGGACAGTCGGGGGTGGCGGGTCACGATCGCGGTGGTCGGGAGGGGTGGGCAGGACCAGGGAAGCATCGCGGGTCCCCGGTGCCATCCCGGTTCCCGGTGCCCCGGGGGATGGCACGGCCCGGGGGAGCTTCCCGGTGCCCTGAGAGATGCTGAGGACCAGGGCACATCCCGGCTCCCGGCAGCCCCTGTGGCCCCGCGGGTCACGGTGCCCCGGGGGATGGCAGTGCCCGGGGGGCACATCCCGGTTCCCGGCAGTCCCGGTGCGCTCACGGTTCCCGGCGCCCCGGAGGACGGCACGGACCGAGGCACATCCCGGCTCCCGGTGCCATCGCGGCTTCCCGGTACCCCGGGGGGATGGCAACGGAGCGGGGCATCACGCGCCTCCCGGTGCCACCGCGGCTCCCGGTGCCCCAGGGGGATGGCACGGACCGGGGGGCTCATCCCGGTGCCCCGTGGAATGCCGCAGCCCGGGGGGCTCATCCCGGTGCTCGCGGGGATAGCACGGACCGGAGGGCTCATCCCGGTACTCCGGCGGATGCCGCAGCCCGGGGGGCTCACCCCGGTGCCCGCCCGACCCCCGCCAGCTCCCGCTGCCCCGCGGCCACCGGTTCTCCCGGGCGGGGCGGGGCCGGGGGGTCCGCCCGCCCCCCGCTCTCCCCCCGCATCTTTCCCGCTCCCCCCCTTTTCCCCCCATCCTCCCCATCCTTCCCGCTCCGTCCCTGCTCCCCCACCCCCCACCCCCAACCCCGGTGGCAGCAAACTTCCGCGGCCCCGGCCCGTCCCCGGCGGCGGCGGCGCCGTACTCACTCTCGCGGGCCTGGCCGTCCGAGGGCACGCCGGAGCCCTTGCCCTTGGCGTACATGGCGCGGCGGCGGCTGTCAGCGGCCCCGGGCCCGGCCCGCGCGGCCCCGCCGCCCCCGCCGCCCCCGCCGCCATCCCGGCCCGGCCCGGCCCGGCCCCGCCGGCTGCGGCCGCGCGCCCGAGGGGGAGCTGAAACCGCCGCGCCCTCCAACCCCCGCGCGCGGCTGTTCCGGCAGCCCGCCGCCACCCCCGCGATCCGCGCAACCGCTTAAAGGGGCGATGCCGCGGAATGGAGAGGCGGGTGGGACCGCGCGGGAGTGGGAGGGGGTGGGCACGGGTGGAGGGGACACGGAGGGGGACGCGGATGTGACTGGGGGGACGCGGGTGTGACGGGGTGGACACGGGCGCGCGGGGTTGGACGCGGGGGACACGGGTGTGACAGGGTGGACGTGGACGCGGGGGTCGCGGAGGGATGCGGGCGCGAGGGGGTGGACACGGACGGAGGGGACGCAAAGGGACACGGGTGGGACAGGGTGACGGAGGTTGGACATGGGGGGACGTGGACATGAAGGGGTGGACAGGGGACACAGAGGGACACGGGTGTGACACGGGGGACACGGACGTGAGGGGGTGGGCATGGAGGGACATGGGTGTGCGTGGGACACAGAAAGGGGTGGGCGCACAGGGATTCGGGCATGAGGGGCGTCATGGCCAGGAGAGGGGACACATGGGGGGACACGGACACGAGGGGGTGACTTAAAGGGGCAGTGACACGAGGGGGTGGACACGGAGGTCACAGAGGCACACAGATGTGAGAGGGTGGACGTGGAGGGACACGGTCCACATGGGGGTGGACACGAACACAGGGGACACAGAAGGACAGGGATGACAGGGTTGACACGGACATGAGGGGGTGGACACATGCAAGGGGATGGGCACACAGGGACACGGACACGAAGGGGGGACACGGACACGAGGGGGGACACAGACATGAGGGAGGGGACATGGAGGGACACGGATGTGAGTGTGCACGGGGTGTGAGTGTGCGGAGAGGGACACACGGACACGGATGTGGGTGGGTGGACATGGAGGGACTTGGACACCAGGGGGCGAACACGGACATGGTGGGACAGAAGGACACGGGGGACACGGTGGGGACACAGCAGGGGTGGGCACAAAGGGGATTGGGAACGAGGAGTGGACAAAACCATGATGGACTCAGTGCACGTAGAACACCAGCACGAGTGGCAGCCACGGGAGGGACACCAGGATGGGGACACCCAGGGACACCCATCCACTCACAGAATCCCCCTCCCACCCAGCCCTGGGGTCCCTTCACATGAAGAGAGGGGGGGGTCTGTGTGCTCCCCCACCCCTCGGATGCTCCCAGGGCACCGAAGTCTCCCAGCCGGCGCCAGGAGGATGCTCAGCATCCCAGGAAAGGTCCGGGGGGGTCCGGCGGGGGTCGGGGAGTGCTGAGTTGGGGGATGCTGCTCCCCTGCCCCCCCCCCTCCCCCGCGGGGCCGGCTACGCCCCAACAGGGTGACACAGGGTGACACGGGGCCACCGGACCCGCCTGTTCCTCTTCCCCGCACCAGCAGCAGCGGCAGGAGCACAGGCGAGCCGGGGGAGGGGGGGAACTGGGGCTGTGGAGGAGGGGACAGGAAACGACCTACTGGGACCCCCGGGAGCTGCCCAGCCCGGGGAGAGCAGGAGCAGGGCGGGGGGGCCAGACTGGGCTGCGCTGGTTTGCGCCAGGAGGGGGAATCCGGTGGGAACAGGGATCCTGATCCCTGTTTCCCACCCAGGAGTGCCCGGTGTGGTGGAGGGGTCATGGGGGTCCCTGCAGCTCCTCTCAAGCTGCTGCTGCTGCTGCTGCTGCTGCTGTGCCCCGTGACCCCCACAACCCCCCGATCCCCCTGCTTGGCCGTGCCCACGGGTGACTCCCAGGACCTGGACCTGAGCAACAAAACCCACGGCTGTGCCGAGCTGGACCTGGGCCCTTTCCGCCAGAAGCGACGGCTGTGGCTGAGCCACAACGGCATCGAGGCCCTGAGCCCCTCGTCCCAGCTCGGGCCCCAGCTGGAGGAGCTGGACCTGGGCTACAACCGCCTGCGGGAGCTGCCCGAGGGGCTCTTCGCCCACGCCACGGCCCTGCGGACCCTGAGGCTGGAGGGGAACCCCCTGCCCGCCGTGCCCCCCGCCGCCTTCCAGCCCTCCCTGAGCTCCCTGTCCGTGTCCTGCCGCTGCGACGTGGTGGGCACCGTGCTGGCCCCCTGCGCCCGCACAGCCGCCCGGTGCCGCTGCCTCATGTCCCGCCACGAGTTCCTGAACGTCACGGAGTTCTACGACCGCGAGTGCGGGGCCAGTGCGGGGCTGGTGGGCGGCCTGGCTGGGGCGGGCGCCGCGGTGGCCACGCTGGTGGCTGTGGGTGCCGCCCTGGTGTGTTACCGGCGGAGGAGGGCGGGGGCTGCGGTGGCCGGGGCGGGGTGGGGGAAGCAGGACCCCGGTGCAGGCACCCGGCAGCCCCGGTACATCAGCCGGGACACCGGGAGTGGCACCAACGAGGTCACCGATGCGCCCGACTACGAGAACGTCTTCGTGAGCCCCGGCACCGCCCCGGCCACCGCGCAGGGATGGGCACCAGCGTGGCAGGAGCAGCGGTACAGGTGAGGCTCTGGCATCCCACCCTGCTGTGCTGGCATCCCATCCCATCCCATCCTGTGCCATCCCATCCCATCCCATCCCATCCCATCCTGTGCCATCCCATCCCGTCCCATCCTGTGCCATCCCATCCCATCCCATCTGTCCCATCCCCTCCATCCCATTTCATCCATCCATCCATCCATCCATCCATCCATCCATCCATCACATCCCATCCTGTTCCATCCCATCCCATCCTGTTCCATCAATTCATCATATCCCATCCTGTTCCATCCCATCCCATCCCATCCCATCCCATCCTTCCCATCCCACACTACCATCCCATCCCATCCCATCCATCTTTCCCATCCCATCCCATCCATCTTTCCCATCCCATCCCACCCCATGCTGTGCCCTGCTGTCCAGTCCCACACATGCCACCCCCCACCCGCGCCCTCCTGTCCTGTCCCATCCCACCATCCCCAAGTCCCAGGCGTTTCCAGGGCCTGAGCCCTTCCCTCCCCTCCCTTCCCCCCATGATATTTGCTCCCCACTGAGCCCTCCCTGCCCCCCCAGCCCCAGGTCCCAGAGGATGAGAATTATTTCCTGGAGAGAGAGGCTGATCCCGGAGACCAGCCCATCTACGCCAACACCCTGGGCCCCAGCGAGGACGTTTACATCATTCCCGACCACTGAGGGGACTGGGAGGGACTGGGGGGGAGTCGGGGAGGACACTGGGGGGACTGGGAGGGACAGGCTCTGCCCCCCACTGCCATTCTCTCCCTGCTGTCCCCACACCCCGGAGGGGACAGGGCTCCCTGGGTTTCCCCACGGCTGGGCCGGCGACACAGGTGGTTCCCACACACGTTTCCAGTGGGAATGCCTTTCTGTGTGTGGGGGGGTGTGGTTTTAACACCCTCCCCCCAGCCCCAAGCCCCTCCACCACCCCAGTTCCCACCACGGGGCTCAGCAGGGGCTGAGGTGACGCTTCCTCTCGGGGCCGGTGGCCACCGACCGCGGGGACGCCGCATCCGCCGGCAGCCGGAGCCTTCCGGCTGGGATGCACACGCAGGGCCCCCACGAGGAGCTGGGCCAGGGGGTGACCACGGCCTTGGGTTCCTCTTCCCCTTTTGGGGCCGATGGGGAGCGTCGGGGGCCAGGCAGTTGGGCACATCCGGGCATGGCTGCACCACCCATACTCGTCCTGCTCAATCTGCCAGGGAAAATCCCTGGTTTTAACCCTCCTGGTGAGACCCCGAGTTGGGCACCCTGAGGGGAACGGCAGCCTGGGGGGACAGGGGGACCCCCCCGTGGCTTGTCTGGGTGTCCCATCCCTCTCCCCCTGCCCTGGCCCCTGTGAGGCTTCACCGTGCCCATTAAATGGTTTAATTATCTCTAATTACCCATGGAGCTCTTGGTCTGTGGGGAGCCCTGGGCAGGACGCAGAGGAAAGTCCCTGGAGCTCCCAAAGGATGTGTCCCCAAAGCAGGGGTCCCAAGGAACCAGAGCCCTCAAGGACAGGTTCCAAAAGCCTTTGTCCCCAAAGTGGTGGTCCCAAGGGACCAAGACCCAGGTGCCTTAAGGCTGTGTCCCCAGAGTGGACATCTCCATAACTTGTGTCCCTCAATGCCCCCATTCCCAGAGCAGAGGTCCCCATATCCCACATCCCTCAAGCCCAGATCCCCACCAGCAGCTGCTGAGGGTCTGGGAAGCCCAGGACACCCCCCTGGGGGTCCCAGGGCCAGAGGGGCCTTGAAATTGGACAAGGGCCACATCCCTGCTGGATGTCCCTGACAGGGGTCAAGGCTGTGCCTGACACCCATCCCAAGGCCACAGGAGCTCAAAGGTCTCTGGAGCAGAGCCCAGATATTACTCACATGCTGGCAGGATGGCACTGGGAAGCCACGAGGATTTACCAGCAGACCCCTATGGAGTCAGATCCCAAGGGAGCTGAGGAGCTCTGGCTGGAGACCCCCACCCAGCCAGCAGTGCAAGAGGAGCAGCCAGAATCCCAGTTCCCATCACTTTATTAATTTACATCATTATATCCTTCCTATATACATAAAATACAAATACACAAAAAACCCCTCGTTCCCCACCCCAAAAAAAAAAGTTCTTTTGCTATAAAATACAATAAGTTAGAAATAAATAAGGGGGTTCCATAAAAAAAGGTCTTACTCTATTATTCTATAAATAAATAAGAGCAGAGAAGGAGGGATGGACTGGGATGTGGACACCCAGGGGACACACCCACCCCAGCCCCTTTGGGGTATCTCAGGTGGGAAGATCAAGTAAAATATGGATTTAATAAATAAAATACAGATTTAAATAAGAGAAGAGAGTAGGGAATATGTTATTGTGGAGAGGAATCCAGAACTGGAGAGCCCAGGGCTGAGTTGGACTGTGGAGCTGAAGACCCCAGGAGTGGAGCTGGAGAATCTGGGGCTAATCTGGACACTGGAGATGGGTCTGATGTGAAGGCATTTGGTGCCAGAGGGTCTGGATTTTGGAATGCTGAAGCTGGAGATTCTTGGGGCTGAGCAAGATGGGGGGAGTAGGGGCTGGCTTGGAGGCACTTAACGCCACAGAGTCTGAATTTTGGGGTGCTGGAGCTGCCAGGAAGCTTCACCCAGGGCAGTGACACCTCCCGGTTGGAGCCACCGGCGATGCCATCAGGCGCAGTGGCAGCCGGTGACCAGCATGTCCTCGAAGACGCTGGAGACCAGCCTGCCCTCGCCGTCATAGTGCATCAGCACCATGGGGTCGTACCCAGCAGGGACACAGCAGGGCGGGGGGGCGGCCCTGGACAGGGAGTGCACTCGGGATTTGATCTGGGCGTGCATGTTGGCCGGCTTGTAGTTGTGGGGGCAGGAGCCCTCGCAGAACCTCATGTAGTAGCTGTGGGGGGCGATGACCCAGTCGGACCAGCCGATGTCCTGGAAGGAGACCTTCAGCGACTTCAGGCAGCACTTCCCGTCGCTCTTCCCGCACTCCTCCTCCAGCCCCCGGGCTCTCCTGGCCCGCCGAGCCACCTTCTCCTGGGTTTGCACCTCCAGCACCAGCGTTTCCCCCTCCGAGGTGTCCAGGGCGGCTGAGACGTCGGCTGTGAAATCCAGCTCCAGGCTCAGGGTGGCCTCGGGACCCTCCACCCAGGGCTGGATGGCTGCTGTCACATCCAGGCTCTGGGAATCGGGGTCCAGCTCTTGGCTCTGCAGGAGCTGGGGGGTCTCTTCATCCCCCTGCAGAGCGTAGATGGTGACCCGGGGGGGCACTTCCAGCGACCGCTTGAAGAGCTTCAGCTCCGCCTGAACCACCCGGAGCTGCCGCTGGAATTCCTCGGTGCGGGAGAGCAGGAGGCGGTAGCGGTAGGGACCACGGGCGTCCTGGTGTCCCTCTGGGTCCCGGTGTCCCTCTGGGTCCCGGTGTCCCTGCGGGATGTCCGGCCAGCGCAGCACTGCGGGGACAGAGGGGACAGATGATGTAAGAGCCAGCAGGTCTCAGCCAGCCCAGGCTTGTGACCAGCTCCGCTCAGGCAGCCAAACCAGCGCTCCCGGGGAATCCCCCAAATCCCCAGGGGTGTTGGAAATTCATCCCTCAGATCCTCAGATCCCTCAGGACCCACCGTTTGCAGGGACCCCCGAGATGGAGGGTCCCGGTTTTCCTGGTACCAGAGTTGGTACCCTACCTTGGGGCGCCCCCTCCCCACTCCCCGGCGGTCCCCCCACCAGCCCAAGCAGCAGGAGCAGAATATTCCCCCAAATCCCCCCAGATTCAGATAACCCCCCCCGAAACTCGGGCTCAAGCTGGGGATCGAGGGATGGCATCTCCCCTCCTCTCACCCCCAAACCACCTCGAGCCCCACTCCGAGCCTCCCGAGCTGCCACCGCGCCGCTGATTAAAAGCTTTCATCCCAAACTCCCTGATTTTGGTGTTTTTAAGCAAAACAGCTCCGGCAGTGGCTCCTCCCCTCTTCCAGGGCAAAGGAAGCCGCGGGACAAGGATGACCGTTGCCACCGTGCTGCATGCCCGGTCATGTCCCGACAGTGCCCGACTGCGGGACACGCTGCGTGTCCCGGGGGGACGAGCGTCGTGGAATGACACGGAGCCACTTACGGGTGGGGGTCAGGCGGTGCAAACGCCGGGTCCTGGACACGGATTCCTCCTCCTCTTCCCGGCTCCTGTTCGCTGCCAGCTCCGCCACTTTCTGCTGGTAGAGCTGCTGCGCTCTCCGGATGCTCTCCTGGTCCAGCTGGTGCCGGATGACGGGGGGAGCCGGCATTCCCAGCCGCTCCAGGATCCCCTTTTTGACGGCTTCCAGCTGGAACCTGTCCTGGTCCCACGTGAGGGGCCGGGAATCCACGGCGGTGAGGAGCAGGAGGAGCTGGAGGCAGGTGAGGGTAGCCCAGACATCCCTCAGCGCTCTCGGCATCTCGCTCCTCGGCATCCTGCAGCTCCCGGGGCAGGATTTGCTCCCAAATGTCGTGCAGAGGCTGGACGTGCCGCTGTCGGAGATGCTGCCAGGGGAATGAATGAACTGGACCAGACCTGACTTTATAGGAGCCGAACTTTGCCCGCCCTCCGTTCCCCCCCCCCCTGTCCGGGACTGCCGTGCGTGACAGAGCAGGAATCTCTCCTCTGGAGATCTGGGATTTCCCACGGGAGCTCTGGGATTTCGCACGGGAGCTCCCGCGATTTGCAAGCCAGTTTGTAGCTGTGGAGATAAAAAAGTCTGGAATACAATTTCTCAGCGACAAACACTCCACCTCCCATTTTCCCTGCGGGATCGCATGGCTGGGGGGAATCCCCCTCACCTCCACCGGGCGGGTGATGGAGAGGGGATGCTGCGCAGGCAGGAGCATTCCAGCATGCCTTGTACCCTCCCTGCGTCCTCAGCCACCTTCCCCGTCTGTCGCCTCACCCCGCTGTCACACAAGGGTCCGATCCAGGCACACGCAGCCCCTTCCCAAAATCCCTGCGAGGCGGGAATGGGGCCGGGAGGAGGAGCTGGGCTGGCGGGCTCGTGCCGGGCGCGTGCCCGCAGGAGGGATGGGATCAAGGCCGGCTGGATCTTGTCCCACCGAACCGGTTGATGGCACCGGCTCCTCCGGGCAGGTGTGGCCGGGGGTGGGCATATCCCGTGTCCCGGTCCTTCTGAAGCAACCGTGGCGCTGGGTTACATCATCGCCACCCCAATCGGAGCCGGCCGGGATGGAGCCTGGCACCGATCCAGCGGGGCCGCGTGTGCCGGGCAGCGCCGTGCCAGACCAGGGCTGGGGAGGAGGGAATCCACGGCGGGAACAAGCCACAGAGGGTGGCACAGGACCACCCGTCTTCCCCACCTTCTCCTCGGGGATGTTTGGACCTGAAAAACACGAGCGGGAGGACGAGGAGCCGCCGGTGGGGTGAGGAAACGGGCAGGTCCTCCCAGGGCAGGCGAGGCCGTTCCCAAATGTCCTGAAGTTGATCCAAGTGCCTGGTCTTTCAGCTGTGCTCCTGCCAGGGGGTGAACGTGCTTGCAGTAATCCCCTGGTTTAAGGCTGTTTATCCCCTGCTCCTCCTCGGGCTTTTCTCACCCGGTTTCTCAAGGGGTTGCCTGAGGCAAAGCCAAGAGCAAATATTTCACCCTAAAATCCGGGAAAGGAGAAGTTTGTCAGGATGACCAGCATCGTGTGGAGGGGATTGCCCTGGTTCTGGCTCTGCTGCCCAGCTCTGGATCCATCCTTGCAGTGGGATGGGTGAGTAAAAGCAGGAGTCTCTCTCTTCCCAGGTCATCCAGCTCAGGTGAAACCCCACGTGTGGCTCCCAGGGAAACTTTGCAGCCTGGTTTATTTATCTCCAGGGCTTCATCCAGTGTGGATTTGGGCACCATCCTGCTGCTGCCACGTGTGGGACGTTACCCATCCCTCCAGCAGTTGGGCAGGGATGAACCCCACCCCCTCCTGGAGCATCTTCCCCCCCGGGATCCTTAGGGAGTTCCCAGAGCACCAAGCCCGCTGTGATCCCTCTCCCAGGGATTTTATCAGCTGGGGTGATTGCAATCCCTCATCCCCCTCACTCCAAGGAGGAAGGGAGAGGGAGCATCACCCAGGAGGACCACAAACCTCTGGGTACCACCCTGGGGCTGAACCATCACCATCACATCACCCCCTCTGCTCCGGACATCTCCCGTGTCCCCAGCAGGTGCCAGCCCAGCCACCATCCCCTTCCACCATCCACATGGTGCCAAACGTGCTCATCCAGAGCTGAAACGGAGCCCTCGGCACGCCCGGGCAGGAGAAGAGGCCCCGACCCCTTGGATCACATTGAGCAAGACCCGGCAAACCCCGAAATCCTGAAGTTCTGCTTTTGCAAGATTTTGGATTTTCTCTCCGGGGGCGCGAGCCCCATCCCGGAGTGACGCAAGGTCCCGCTGCTCCCGCAGCATCAAAGGTTGCTGGAGCCGGATGTTTTCCCCCCCTGAAAGGCGCCAGCCCTGGAAGTCGGAGATTTACAGTCGGGCAAGAGCCATAAACCAGGAATTTTGGGAGCCGTTTTGAGTCCCGGCTGAGCGATGATGAAATGTCCCAGCCTGTCCTCACCAGCCTGCAAGAGGAGATTGCGCAGCCTCCGCTCCATCCCACGGTTTCCTCCGGCTCTTCCCGAGCCGTTAGCACATCCTTTGGCATCTCCTCTGCCTCTTCCCGGGCCGTTAGCACATCCTTTGGCATCGGAAGGTCAGGTTTATGAAGGTCGGGTTTATCCAAGCGCCTCTTCCCAGCGGGATGAAGGTTCCTCTCTACTTAGTGAATCCTGCGTGGATCCCTCTGCTTGGCACAGCTCCCACCAACCTGGCAGGGATCTAGAGCAGGGATGACCGTGGGATTGATGTTCCCAGGGACTCCTGGAGCTCAGAGCACCTGAGATGGGATGAGGGTGATCAGGAGGTGATGCCACGGGGCCCTCACTTCTCCACACACATCAAACAGGAGAGAAACTGGGAGATCCGGGTGATTAAAGCATCATACAGAGGCCAGTGGTTGGAAAAGCTGTTGAGAAGTCCAGGAAAAGCTCAGAGCATGCACTGCTGAGCCTTGGGAAGGTGTGGAAGTGTCCAAGGCCAGGTTGGATGACGCTTTGGGAGAGCGGAAGGTACCCCTGCCCATGGCAGGAGGTGGAACTGGGTGGGCTTTAAGGTCCCTTCCAAGCCAAACCATTCCATGGTTCTCTGTAAATAGCTTTTTTCCTCCTCTCCATCTCCAGGGGACAGAGATGAAGCATGGTGGGGGCCATGGGTGCCATCCCAGAGCTCCCCCCATGGCTGAGGCCGAGGGGAAGAAGCCGCCTTGCAAACTGCTGAGATGGAACTTGTGAAAAACCAGGAAGGGCAACATGAGCATGAGTCACTTCCCCACGGAACGTGGGCTGGATGCAGCCCTGAACTCCAACCAGCTGGAGCAGGGCTTGGAGTGGGACCGGAGAAGCTCCGGTTGGATTCAAGGACAAAGCCCCAGATTGGCCACGTGCACCTGAGGGGCTCCTCAAAATCCATCTCTCCTCCTGATCCTTGGGATGCTGGTTGAGGGGTTGCCCCTACCCTGCCCTCCCAGCTCTGGTGGGGGACAGAGAACAGATGAGGGGGATCCAGAGGGCGTTGATTCCCCAAAAAGCAGGAAATTCCCCTCAGTTGCACGAGCTGGCAGAAACCTTAGGGTTTGTTTCTTTTTTTTTTTTATGTTTTTGTAGAGTTCCTTATCACAAGTGGTGAGAGGGGAAGTGCCGCCCTCCAGATTTTGGGTCTCTCAGTTCCTTGCAGCTATCGAGCAAAGGGATCCCCAAAATGTGCCCAGAGGGTGGGCATCACCCTGGGACCCACAGAGAGAAGGGTTACAGCTCCCAGCAGCCAGAGCTTCCCACTCCAAGGCAAACAGTGCCGGATCAGGAGCTCCCCGCATCCGACAGGGACCTCAGTGCACCCTGAAATCGCTCGGGTTGAGCAAGTTTGACAGCGGAGGAGGGAAATTCCTGGAAAATGAGGCAAATAATGCTTTCCCATGGTGTGTTTTTCCAAGGGATAAGAAGGGAAGGGTAGCCTGGCTGCTGCCACCACATGAAGACCCAAGGTGCCCTTAGGGGTTGGTCTCAAGGGAAGGTGGGGCTGGAGGCACCTCTGGCACTTCCAGGGATAACTGGGAGCGAGAAAACCCTCGGGGAAGGGGAAGAACCCAGCCAGGGGGGTCACATCCCAGATTTCCAAGGGGATTGCTGCTCCATCCCATCTCATTTCAGGTGTGGGGAGGGGCACAGAGGGGTGGGAGGCAGGGCTCTCCCTGCACTGCCAGTGTGGGATGTTTGGGAAGCCCCATCCAGTGTTTTCCCAGCACCGGGCGCTGTCAGGATGAATCGGCAGAGTGGACGCTGCCCTGACCTTTGGATGTTTCTAAATTAAAGGCAACCAGGATGGGTCAGGCCCCCTCACAGCAGGGATCACATTTTTCTCCCTTTGCTCCAAAGGGTTTACGGCATCTCCCAAAAATGAGACTTCTGCTCCACTTGGACAAAGACATTCCTGCCTCCACTGCTCCTCTCCCACCCCTGGTCAATGATTAACTCGGATTCCTGGCTCCCCTCAGCCCCAGGAAGGGTAGGAAATGCCTCCAATCCAACCACCAAAAATGGAACACCTTCCTCACAGAGATGCTTTCGCCACCAGGATGTTCTCAGCTTCCAAGGAGCATCTTTCCCGGAGGGATTCCCGGGACACCCAGGGTGTGCTCTGGTGAGGATGCTTTGCAGCTTGTGATGGTGTTCTCCCATCAGAAGGTATAAACACCTTGAGGGCATCGTGGAGCTGGACTTTGTGGGGTTTTGTGGCTCTCTTGCAGCTCAGGATATTTGGGATCATTTGCAGGAGCAGCTGGGAACAAGCTCGGCCCGAGCAGGATTGATGTGGTGGTTGTTGAGAAGCAGTTTTAAAAAGCAGCTTTTCCATGGTGGGAGATGCCTCTTGACCCTCCAAAGTGCCAAAAAAGCACCCTTCCCTCCATTTTCAGTGTAGATCCAGGAGCTATTCCCACACCAAGGCTTTTGGGAGCATTGTGATCCCTTGGGATGCTGGGGCCGGACCCAGGAGCGGAGCACAAGGCTCCAAAGGGACCCGGATGAGCTCGAAATCCTTCCTCCAAAAATCTTTCCAGCATGGAGCAGATGAGAAAAATGGATGGAAGGAACACAATCCAACCTGGGCACATCCCAGAGCAGCATCTCTTTTCCCAGGGAAACCCTTGGGAGATGCTGGAAGGGAAGGACAACTCCAAAAGCTCCTTAAAACAGGAGGATTTTAAGAGCCTGGATGGGATTTTTTTTTTTTTAAGTGAGGGGGAAAACAGATGAAGGAAACCAAATCCAACCTGGGCACATCCCAGAGCAGCATCTCTGATGCTGCAAGGGAAGGACAACCTTAAAACCGTAGGATTTTAAGAGCCTGGATGGTTTTTTTGAAGCACGAGGTTTCAAAACTCCGGAAGAGGAACGAGGGTGGAAGGGGCCTGGAGAATTCCAGCGGGGTTGCTGTCAGTCCAGCAGAAATAAATAGGATTTATTTGTGATCCCAAACACGGGCCGGGCTCCACGTGCCCGTCAGGAGGGAATTACTCAGCGGAGCGTGACTCGGCAAAGGGTTATGTACACAGGGCACGGAGCGTCCACAGCAGTGGGAAGCAGCTGGAGAGGAGCAGCAGGAAAGGATTTTCCCCCTCCACCACCACCCTCCAGGCTGGTTGGGAAGTGGCCAGGAAAATCCTGTTGGTGGAGAACGTCCGTGTATATTCCCCCCACTGGAAGGCTGGATCCAGGTGGGACCACCCGGCAGCAGGGAGAGGGAAGCGTGGTTGGAAGGCACGGTGAGGAGGTTTGGAATGGGGAATTAGGCAGGCCCTGGAATGGGAAGCTCATACTGGGAGTTCTTGGCTGTGCTGGGAGGATGTTCATCCTTGGGAGCACATCCCAGGGTGGGAGAGGCAGCGAATCCTGCTGTGGGACATGTGTGGGACGTGTCCTGGGGCATGTCCCGGGACCTGCCCTGGAATCTGCTTGGGATCTGCCCTGGGATTTGCTCTGGGACATGTCCTGGGACCTGCTTGGGATCTGCCCTGGGATTTGCCCTGGGACATGTCCTGGGACATGTCCTGGGACCTGCTTGGGATCTGCCCTGGGACCTGCCCTGGGACATGTCCTGGGACCTGCCTGCACATGCCCCACCGGAGGCAGCAGCGCTCGGAGCAGGCAGGAAATTCCAGCCATTCCCCTGCCCAGGATGGATCCGCAGTCTCTGGAAGCTCTGGGGAGCAGCAGCTGCAGGAGAGGGTGGGCTCTCCTCGGGCACCTTTGCCTGAGCTCAGCTTTGATTTGCAAGCTGGGAAACCACGGCGAGGGAGCAGCCTGCCAGCTGGACGCTGCCCAAAATTCCCACCTCGTTTAGGAAGGGTCTGGAAGGCTTGAGGAGAGGGGGAGCGGAGCGGGATGTTAAAGGAAAGAACTGAGATCTGTGAGGGGCCAGTCCACCAAAGGGATCTCCTCCATGAATCTCTGGATCTCCACCAAGGAATCCAAGCGGGATGCTCCGTGATGAGCCTCCTCAGCACCGGCAAAACCTTGGATCTGTCCCTCCAGGGAACTGTTTGCAAAATGACCTCATGGACACATGACTTGCTCCAAAACATGACATCACCTCGGGGAGTACCCGTGCAGGAAACGCTAATCACCTTATAAAGGGAATTAAAAGGAGAGTGATGTCATGAGGGGTTGGCTGAGGGAGGGCCCAGGAGCTCCAGTCCTGGCTCAGCTGGGAGGGAGATCCCAAATTCCCGGTGCCCAGCACGTGCTGGGTGTTGGTGGGTGGAATAAAAGCTCCTTCTCCCAGCAAAGGCTGCAGAACTCGGCGAGATCGCCGTGGCAGCTCAGGAAAAGAAGGGCATGAAAAAGACAGAGGAAAAGCAGAGATTCCAGAAGGAAAAGCAGAGATTCCAGAAGAACCAGGACATTTTTCCTTTCTGATCCACCCTCCAGGGCACAAACCAGCACCCTTTCCTGCCACCTCTGCGACACCAGGGCAGTCAGGACCAGGAGGAGCCCCAGGGCCACGCTGGAGCTGTGGAGGGGTTGGATCCTCCCCAAATCCTGGATCAACCCGGATCTGTGGAGGGGTCACACCCTAGGGGTGACACCAAGCACCACGTGCCCGTGTGGCAGCACCATCTGGTGGCACCAGCCCTCCCAGCCAGCCCAGTTTGCTCCCAGTCAGGCCCAGTGGCAGCAGGAGCAGGGACAGCAGGAGCCTCAAAACCAGCCAGCAAAGCACTTCCACCCCCGTGGAGGGGTTTAAAGAACACGTGGAGCCAGAGTTAAACTCTTTATTTCCTTTGAAACACGGGTTTAAATCCTCAGTTACAAAGTCCAGTCTGGCAGTACAAGCTGAGAGGACACAGCCCCTTTGGGACACGGAGCTGGGGGGGTTGTTGGGGTTTACAAGGCACTGCAAGAACACACGGAGGGAACGGGAGCCCCGAGGGCATCGGGGTTGTTGCTCCAAGAGGTCCTGACAAGCACGAGGTGGGAGAAACACCTGAGATACCCAGACACACACTGCGGGTTTCACCAGCTGGACAAACACCTCACTCAAAAAAAAAGATAAAAAAATCCCAAAACTCAGGAATTTGGGGTCAAGCCAAGCCAAAAAGTGAGAATGAGGTGGCAAATCCTCCGCCCCTTCCCTTTTTGTCAGGTCCCTGCGTGTTTGTGTCAGCGAGCCTGGAGAGCTCCCACCTCTGAAGGGCATCCTCAGCAACCACAGCGGGGGGGGATTCCCCACCACTTTTTTTTCCAGCAGTTTTCAGCCCAGTTTTTTCCCCACCCCAAATCCATCGCCCTCCCCGCCCGCTCTGCTTCCCAAACGTGAAGCCCAGCACAGGGCAAGGCACTCCCTGATCATCAGAAGTAAACATTTTGTGATTTAAGAAGCTGGTGCGAGAGAGGAAACCTGAAGGTGTGAAGTGAAGTGTTTGAAGTACCACGGAGTTTTATTTTAAGGGCAGTGATAGCAGTTCCGTTTCCCATCTTTTAATTCCTGTCCACGGGGAGGCGATTTCCCTTCTCTGCTTTGCCTTAAAATCAGACTGAGCAGAAGCAGATCTCGGGGTTCCAATCAGTACCTCGAAGAATTAACGACATCCTCAGCTTTGGAGCTTTGGCAGAATATCACTTTCAGCACATAAGACACTCATCAGACAGGAATACAAGTCTGTTGTTTTTTTTTTTAAGAAAAAGTGCACTTTATACTGCAAAAAATTAGGGGTTCTGGTGCAAAAATAACAAATCCATCTACATCAAGACGAGTATTTACGGTATCAACAAGGAGGGGGGGTTTATTCCAAGTCCATAAAGTTCTAAAGAGCCTTTGCAACTCTGAAATTCCTATCGTTAAAATAAAATTAAATCGTTAAAATATTATTGGATAAAGTATTAAAGGAAAGGAGATCAAAGGGGAGGAAGTTACTTTGGGAAAGGATCTGTACAAGTGAATCCTGACGGTTTCATCTGCAGTGGAAGGGGCAGGGTGGAGGAGTGAAATTTGAAAATCTTAATTAAAAAAATTAATTAAAACCAAGTAATTCTTATGTCTAAACATCCTGATTTTCAGGCAGCTTTCAGACACCACCACTCCCTCCTGCAGCAGCTGTGTCTGAGAACCTGCTGGGAGTGAGAAATCCAGGAGGAAATTCCAAAAGATTCCCGAGTCACAACAAATTAAACCAGGAAACCCCACGGCCAGCCCGTCACTGCTGCTGCAGCTTTGGCAGTGGGGGGAGTCACCAATTCCCTCATTTTCAGGGTTTTCCCATTTTTTTTTTGGTTTGAAGAAGCTCCTCCCCCTGCAATTCCTTTTCTCCATCTCTGCCAAAAACAACAAAAAAAATTTCTCCCAAAAATTCCCTCCTTTTAGGGGTGAGAGCAGAGCAAACAGTTCAGGTTTTTTTGTGAAGTCTGAACACCCCCCCCCCCAAGTCAGGACTCCCCTGGAAGGAACTCTGGGAGCTCACGCCACCAACCCCACTCCACACCTCGAACCTCTCTTCATGACCTCTGCCATCCCTTCCCACCTCTCTCCCACGGCTGGGAGGAAACAGCCAGGCTGGGGAATGCTCCAAGTAATTGAACTGCTGACAGGCCTCGAGATTCTCTCCAAAAACTGGCCCCCACAAAAAGATCACAAACAGTTTCTGCACCAGGTGAAAAAAAATCCTCATCCGGGATCGCTCAGGTCGGGAGGAATTCATTGGGATCATCAATCCCACGTGAATCCTTAAGGAAAAGAGCCTTCCAGGCTCACAATTCCCTTTTCCCCCGTGGTTATGAAGCAGATCCCCCGTGTTTAATTCACCTCCTGACAGCAGCACCACCAAATGAAGACATTGAGGAGCACCTGGAGTTCCTCCAAACCCTCGGCAGCACTGAATGACTGGAACAACCCAACTGCCACCCCAAATCTCCCCAGCACATTGGCCAGTCCCCCCTTGCTCCAAGCAGATAAATGACATCAGACCCCCATCCAGTGGAACCTCCCTAAATTCCCTCTTCCACACCAAATACCCTCACAGCCCCATCTCTCCATATCCCCAATTTTGCAGTCAGGTTTTTCCAAAGTGACAGGCACAGGGGGGGGGGATGAACAACTCCAGCTGAATTTCCTACACTTTCACTCACTAGCACAAAGTTGTTTTTTTTTTGGGCTTGGCAACGGGTCTCCCAGTCAGTGCAAATTAGCAAATTCCTATTTACTGATGAGCTGGAAAAGGGAGCAAAATACAGGATGACACAAAACACGAGCTTTTGGAAGCTCTGCCTCAGTTTGGACATCCTATTCCCATAGAAAATATGTGCACCTGAAGGAAAAGCTTGGTGGATTCAACAAAAAAAGCTTTGAAATCACCCACCCCCTGCTCCCAAAAAAAAAAAAGTGTTTAATTTAGGTCAGATTAAATAAAATCAGTTTAATGCCATTTTTTTTTTGCCCCAAGTTTTGCTACGCGGAATTTCTCTATGACCACGCCGCCCTTTACAAACTCAATCTCAGGACTAATTCTCAAAAATTCCATCCCTGCCCTTCCCCCCCCCCCCCAAAAAAAAAAAAAGAGTATAAAATAAATTATGTTTTCTAAAAGAATTGATCCCATGGAGCTTCTCAAGAACAGATCAGGAGGAAATGCAGAGCTCGGAGTGACGCCCAAAGAGAATCATTTCCCATAAAAAAAAAAAAAAAAGGGATTTTTAATGCTGACACATCCAAGGCCAAGCACCTGTGGTCCTTAGACAGCAGCAGGCACAGCAACCTGCTCCAGATTTTCCCCTGGAATAGAAGAGAGCACCCAAAGCAGGAATATTTCTGGGCGTTGAACGGGATGTAACTCCCCAGGCTGAACAAACCGGCGTGGGAAGCTCTTCCCACGGAACTGCTGCCGTCTGAGCTCCCTTGCCGGAGGATTTGGAGCCACCAGCCCCATCCAGCGGGATCTCCGAGGCTCCAGAGGGTGTGGGAACACCCAGCAGGCAGGGATAGACAGGGAACACCTCACCTGGAGACACGGATCCCTCACGGAGCCCACCCAGCTCAGGGACCCTCCCCGCGGCTCCATCCAGCCCTTCCCGCTCCTGCTGCAATTCCACACTGGGAATTCTGTTATCACCTCACAGTAATCTGATCTTCCACTCCTGTTTTATCCACAGGGAGAATAAAACAGTTTAACTGGAAGTGACTCCATCACCAAAGCTCCCGGGATACTCCTCGTTCCCGAGTTTAGCAGCTAAGAAACACCCAGAAGGAAAACTTCCCACCACCAAAGGGATAAACCTACGGGATAAGTAGCTCCACTAATCACCAAAAGAAAAAAAAATAAAATAAAAAAAAGCATCAAACCACGAAGATTTCAACAAAATATTAAATAGAATAAATTACTAATCAGAAAGTCTGATAAGTGCTACCTCGGATTTGATGGGGGGTATTTCCATCGGAAAGGAGAATTCTTTTGACTGAGCATGGAGAGGGAAAACAGAGGGAATTTCCCCTGGGTCTGCCCAAAACTCTTCATCCACAGGTGCCCCCGGGAGAGTTCTTGCAGCTGGAAAAATCTTTGTCCTCTCCCAAGGGTTACAAGGAGTGGTTTGTCCTTTGCCATCCTATTTTTCCCGGCAAACAGTTCCTATTTTTCATCCTATTTTTCCCAGCAAGTCCAGGGCAGCTCTCACTGAGAGATACTATAACAGAGCCAGTCAGCATTGGAAAAACTAAAAGAATGGGGGTTTTAAAATGTTTAAAAAATTTGGTTTATATATATATATATATATTTGTAAAAGTATTAATTCAAATCACAGACTTCTTTCACTTAAAAGGCCCCTCAACGAGCCCGAAAGGTTCCTCAATCACCAATTTTGAGTCTGTTTCCGCTGCAAAATCTTCTGGTTTTTGTTGGAATCTCGTGATTTGGCAGCAAAATCTCCACACCCCCTTTTCAATCTCCCCTTTTCAAGTCCTGCTCTGATCCTGCCCGCACCCTTCCCCGAAATAACTCCGGGGAAAGTTCTGATGCCTCCGCTAAACCCCAGGCAGCAACTCGGGTTTCGGTCAAAACATCACCCTCCCCAACCTGGAAAAATCTGCAACTAAAAGAGTTATAAATTACTCAACCTTCACTTTGAAACCTTAACAGGGAAGCACCAAGAGGCCAGGACAAAGCTGGCCTTTGGCAGAGCCCTTGGACCGCTGATGATCCGTTTCAGACACGCATGCATTGGGTGCAGGAGGTACGCGGTCGACTCGAGGGAGGGAGTTGGGGGGAAAAAAAAGACATTTGGGAATATTTGGCGAGAGTTTGGCCCCCAAAAAACCAAATCCTGCTCCGGATTTTCCCCTGGAATAGCAGAGAGCACCCAAAATAGGAATATTTACAGGTGTTGACCGCGCAAGAGGAACCCAAATCCATCCCTTCCACCTGCAGCTAGGCTTAACCAGCACGTTACAGAGACCCCACTGACATGTGGAGGGTGTGGGGGGGAGGAGTCAGTGCCTAAAATCATTTTCCATTTCAGCAGAGCAACTGGAGACTCCTCATCCCCACCAAACTGGCAGTCCCACGCCATTCCAGCTCTTTCCAGCTGTACTTTTACCTCTAATTTGGGTCAAAGAGAGGGGTGGGGGGGGTTGGAAAGAAACCCAAAACCGGCTGAAAGCAAACCTTTCAACTCAAGAACAAGTCATTAGAGGGCTGGGTTATCCATTCCCTGCACCTTTGAAGGCCAGGTCCGGGTGAGGAACTTCCCATCCGTGCCGGATTCCATCACCTGGCTGACAGGGAAGCTCCCACTCGAGTCACTCAGGAACGAGGAGCTGCAGGTGTCTCGAAAGAAGAGAGCTTGAACCCTTTGCTGCCAAGGCTGAAACTCAGAGATTTGACAAATAAAAAATGTCCATTTCTAGAAGCTGAATTTTCCTTTTTTTTTTTTGTTTTTTTTTGGGAATCTCCAATTCTGGGTCTGGAACGTCTCAGCCCGGGGTTTTTTTTTGTTTTCCTTACGTGTGTGTTTTTTTTTTCCCCCCCAGTACTTGAGCAATGGGGAAAATTCCAGAAGTGCAACACCAGGATGGCCTCTGCCCGTGCTCAGTGTTCATGCTGACAGTTGATTTTGTCCTCGGAGTGCTCCAAGAGATCCAGCATTTCCTCTATGATGGCCTGCAGGGCCCGGCCCAGCTGTTCTGCGGAGTACGGTTTTCCCAGCGGAGGGACGTGAACAAACGCCGACCTCCCACGGCTCTGGTACAAGGAGGTGTAGTAAGTGAAGTCGCAGAGGTACCTGAAAGGTAAAAAGAGGGATTATTTACCCAAAAATATCACAAATACAGGCTGGGAGGAGCTGTTAATGGAGCGGTATAACAGTGGTGGCATGCAGAGTTTAGTGGAATAGAATTGTGAGTCTGGGGTTGTCCTAATTAAATCTAAGACAAAAAAACCATGAAGAACTGGGTTTTTTTAATCTGTGATGGTTGGGTGACCACCGAAAGACAGGTGGTGGTGCAAACCCTGTGAGAAGTGAGGTGTGGGAGACTTCAAAAGCCGTGTGGATGTGGCACTCGGGGACATGGCTTAGTGGTGGCCTTGGCGGTGCTGGGGGAATGGTTGGACCTGATGAGCTTCGAGGGTGAAGAAGATCACCCAACCTTGTGATTCCATGAAAAATGTGTGGATTGCAGGGGCCTCAAGAGCTGAGCACGAAGGGAACACACGTGACACATGAGGTGGTGGCTGCCCCACCCCTGGAAGCGTCCAAGGCCAGGCTGGAGCGACCTGGGCTAGCGGGAGGCGTCCCTGCCCACGGCAGGGGGTGGCACTGGGTGAGATTAAGACCCCCTTCCCACCCAACCCCTTCCAGGATCCCATGACTCCCCGCTCTGTCCCCGCGGACCGCACCTGCCGGCGTCCTTGGAGATGGTGACGGCCACGTCCAGCCCCAGCGCCGAGACCCTCTTGCACACTGTGTCCATGTCAATGATGGAGTCGATGCACTCCGGGCCCCCCTCCACGCAGCACTGGGAGCCCGGGCAGAACCGGCAGTTGTCCAGCCCTTTGTAACCCACGTTGTGGCCGCACTTCTCCAGGGTGACCGTCGTGGCCATGCCCGAAACTCCCACGTGAACCACCAGCTGCGAGGGGAAGAGAGAGAAAACGAGTTGGATCAACCACCCCCACCAAAAGGCAGAAAACTCATGGCCTGATCCTCGTGGGAGCCTTCCAAACTCCGGATATCCGTGATTCCTGCCCGTGGCGGGGGGTTTAATGACTGGATGCTTTGCCCCGGCTGATGAGGTGGTGACTGGTCACAGGCTGGACTCTGGGATCCCAGACAGAGCTTTTCCAGCATAAATCATTCTGTGATGGCAGGGATAGATGGGATACTGGGAAGAAATCCTTCCCAGGTTGCCCAGAGAAGTTGTAGCTGCCCCTGGATCCCTGGAAGTGTCCAAGGCCAGGTTGGATCAAAGGAGCAACCTGGGCTAGTGGGAGAGGGTGGGACTGGATGACATTTTTAAGGTCCTTCCAACTCAAACCATCCTGTGATTCCACGATTCTATTCCCAGTTAACGATGGAGCTGTTACAGGAGTTCTCCCAGGAGTCTCAGAGCAACTTTATCAGGGGTTTAATACAGCACAATTCTTGTTTCACCCCCTCCTGACCCAAACTGTGATTTAATCAGGGTGAAAACCAGCGCTGGCACCTTCACAGCTGCTGGAAGAGCCCAGGTGGCACAGACTAACCATGGACTGTCTAGACAGCCCTTTGCAGTGGCCTCCTCACACCGACTGCTCCCATGAATTGGAGCACTCTGAGCTGTAAAATCCTCCAAATTCACGTGTTCTCACTACAAAAAGATGAAAAGATCCGGACAGGGACCACCAGTCTGAAAGAAGACGCTAAAAGTGGGACTTCACATGATGCCCTCTGTGGGTTTCGAGCCTTTGCTGGGTGGTTTTCCCGCCTTTACTCACTCACTTGGGGGCTGTGCTTCTTCCACAAGGCAGGAATGAGTCGTTGCACTGTCTGGTATTCGACAGGGACCTCGTAGACGTGCAGATCCACGTCCTCCCGCAGTCCCAGCTTCTCCAGCTCCTAAAGACGCCAGGGGAGCAACAAAACCGAGATGGTCAGACACGGGATTTACCTCTGGAAGGTTTAACGGCAGAGTGAGAGACTAATATCAGTTTACACCAGGTTGTGTAACCTTGTAAACTGCACCTGGAGGGAGTTTACAGCTAAAACTGTGAAAAAAAACCCCAACAAAACAAAACCCAAACCACAATGGGAACAACAAAGGCATCTCTCCACCTGTGTTAACAGTTCCACCCACAGGACCGTTTGTTTGGCTCTGATGTGTGTGAACAAAGACATCAACATTTAACTGACAGTAGTTATCAGCAACACCCACACTCCAAGGGAAGGTTGGCTCTGTTATTTATAGAGGTAGAGAGTCATAATCCCTGCCTTTTTTTTTTTTTTTTTTCCAAGGAGTGACTACGTGGAGAAGGTAGAAGTGGAAGGATTAGATCCATCATCCATGCTGGCCTGGAAAGTAAATTCACATTTTGTTGCCAGATAAAGAGCTCTCAGGGCCCGGTGACAGCACTGGTGATTCAACTCACACAGTGAGTTATCTCTCCCTCCATAGCATGAAAACATCCCAAATATCCTGGCAATCAACAGAGCCAATTTTCCTTTAAACCCTCTAAAACACAAAGTGTCGGTTCGATGCCTTGCAAAGGCTTTAAAACCAGAGAGAAGGGTGTTTTTTTCTCCTCCCCCAGGTATTCCTGACTGGAAAGCACTGTTTGATCCCAACACTGGGAGCTCCCCTTGGTTCTGGATGCTCTTCTTTGGCCTCTGGGGACACTCCAGAACCACCAGCAAGGCTCCAGTTGGATGTTTTTTCACCTGGTACTGCAGAATTAAACCCTTCAGAGCTGCCAAACCCAAACTTCCAAGAACTCGAGGATAAACCCACGGTGGCCTGAGGAAAAAATGCTCACAAACTAAACCACCAGCTGAGCCCAAATTTAGGAGCCAGGCTACACCAGGGGCCACTTTTCCAGCAGGACCTTCAACGTCCCTGCCCATGGCAGGGGGTGGAACTGGATGAGCTTTAAGGTCCCTTCCAAGACCAATTCCATGATTCCATGGTTCTCCAAGTGCCTCCTCCTCTCCTGAGGGCAGAGGGAGCCACGTGCTCTCACACCTCTGTGTCTCACCAACCCCTCTGCAGTTGTTCTTACGGTTCTGAGGCAGAACCAGCGACGGAAGAGCCACCAAAGCATCAAAGGGCACTTCAAAATATCCCTGAATGACCGAGTTATCTCGGGCTCAGGTTCAGATCTGGAGCTGCTCTTTGAAGCGATTCTCAGGCTTTTGTTTTCCTCCTTGCAAACTTCAGGCCGAGGAGCGCAGATCAGCTCTTTTCACTTCCAGCCTTGCGTTCCCCCAGGTTAAAAATTAAAAATTAAAGACAGCTGAGAGAGAATGTGAGGTTTTGGCTTCCCCCATCACCATCCTGACCCCTCTCCTGTGTATAAACATGAGCAGTGCTTTAGTATCATTTTTCTGTGTTATCAGCATGAGTGGTTTTTTACAGAGGGGGAGGAAAAAAAAAACCAACCAACAAACAACAAACCACCTTTCACACTTGTAGGGACAAAACCACAGCGGTGTAACAAGATTTAAGATTAAGTAAAACACACAGAAAGGCAAGAGTGAGACTTTTCACAGGCCAGCAGATAGGAGCAACAATGATAAATCACTGGCTCTGGCTCTGAGGGCAAGGCTGATATTAAAGCCTTGCTGTATTGATTAGTGTCTGGCACACTCAGACATTCATTACCAGAGATGGATGTAAGTGATGGTTCATCACAGCAACTTCACACAAAATCTGCCTTCAAAACCTTCCCTGGTTTATGGGTTTGTGAAAAACGAGGAGTTTACAAATGAGAGCATTCAAACCCAAGTCAGGAGAATAAACCCTCTTTTAGGGGCCTTAATTGCTTGGGATTCATCACCACCTCTCTTAACCAGAAGAGATGCTCCTGAAGGATTAGGAAGGAGGATGAGTCTGGGGGGTGGGAAGTTTTAACTGGCTGAAAAGAAAACAGCACCTCCAGGAGGAAGATGCACCCCCCTCCAGACAGTTAAACCTTAACTTTACCAACCCACAGCTCGCTTTTAACCAAACCCAGCGCTCGATAATGAAGATATTTGTAGTCGTTCCCCCCTCCCTTCCACCCTCCAACAACTTCTTCCCCCCCCCCTCCCAGCCCTGTCTACCTGACAAATACAGCAAACCCAACATGTGTGACCGATTCCCTGACCCCTCCACAATGCTGCTCTTTGTGAGCCTCTAATATCCTTATCAGGTCTGTCTAGACACCCTGACAGCAATTGTCCTTCCTAATGTCAAAACCCACTCTGACCTCTCCTCCTCCTCCTCCTCCTTCTCCTCCAGAAGCTCTTTAGGGGGGGGGATGAAGGAGCTTCCCAGCCCACAGGGCACACCTGTGTCTACACCTAAAGTGTACACCTCCTAAAGGGAGGGTGAAAAACGTGCTGGAGAAAAGTAATTTCTTCGTGAAAGTCCCTCCCAAGCAAAAATTGCAGCTGTAAAACCCAAAATATAATAATAATAATTAAAAAATTCCTCAGATTAAATATTAAAAATATGAAAATAACAGCAAATCCACGTTAACACAGGAGGGTTTTTGCTGGGAGCCTTAAAAGAAAGCAGGGAGGAGTTGTTCTTCCTGTTGAATTTATGGGGAAATCTCTAAACAGGGATGAACATCTTCAAAGATTTCATTTCATTATTAAGATTACTGCTGCCACTGTTTAAGGCACCCATCATGTAAAAATCATTCAGATTTCAAACCCAGACAGCTACAGCCAGGAATCCACTGCAGATCCAGGGAAAAGATGCAAGTTTCTCAGTAAGGATCCAAATAAAACCAAAAACACGGGGTGTGGAGTGGGGGGAAAGCAGCAAATTTTATCCTCAGGATGCAGGATTAATAAAAGCTGTAATAAACCAGAACTAGCTTAGCCCTAAAAGCGAGGAAAGGAGGATTTCCAAAGATTGTTTAATTGATTTTTTCTTCTATTAAAATGCAGATCACACCGTCTGGGATTCGGGAACTCAGACACGCCTTTGTGTCCACTCCGCTCCATGAAGTCCCCCGTCTGAAACTCGCACAATGCCCACCTCGCCCGGGCTCAAAGACATGCTGTTCCCTTTTTTTGTCTGGGCCTCTGGGGGCTGAGACAGGGGAAGGGAAGGCAAATCCTCCCCGCTGCCTCCGAGTTGATGTTTTCGGTCACAATGCGCGAGCGATGAGACGCGACCCGGAGGCTCCTGCGGCAGCAACTCCGAGTTTCCCCCTCTCAAAATACCCCCAACTCTGTTTTCTCCTCTTTAAACACCCCTAGCTCTGTTTTCTCCTCTCCAAACACCCCCAGCTCCGAGTTTTCTCCTCTCAAAATACCGAGTATCCTCCTCTCCAAACTCCCCCAACTCCGAGTTTTCCCCCTCCAAACACCCCCAACTCCGAGTTTTCCCCCCTCCCAACACCCCAAGCTCTGAGTTTTACACTTTTAAAAGTCAACAAGCCCCCTGAAAATGGATTCCAAAGGCAGGTGGTGACTCCATCCAGCAGCCACTTCAGCAGCACTGAAGGAACAAAGTGCTGGTTCTCCTCAGGTTTGTTTTTGGAAGCAACATCACAACACCCACCGCTCCTCCTGCTCCAGAAACACCCCTTTGTCTGTCTCCTCTGAAATAAAAGTAGCTATTTACAACAGCTGCCACCACACAAGCAAGAACAAGCCAAATCACTGCGCCCTCACTCCTGAATTTTAATAACATCCTGTATTTTTTTCCCCTCCACAACCTGCATATTGCCCCCAAACCGACCCTAACTCAAATATATTCGTTCCCAAAAAAGCTCTTGGAGGCAAAAGGTTTTGTCTTCTCCTTCCAGCCAACACATTAGACAGCTGGACATTAGTTGGCTGTAATTGATTAGAGTTTGTGATTTAATTTAAAAGCATTCGAGAGCAGATATTAATCTCAGAGCTCTGAAGGGGAGAGAGACAAGCTGGGAAGAAAAATAGATTTAATTCCCTGGGCAACTGTACTAAAAGGTACCCTGGAATTCCCAGTAGCTTTGACACAAACCACATCCAGAAGTGACAGAGAAGTGGGATAACGTGGCAGCACCGTCTCCCTCACTGAGTGTTTTTACAGCAAGAAACCTTAATTCCACTGGAAAGGGCTTAATTCCTCCCCCTTGCCTCATTTGTGAGGTATCAGTGCCACACAGATGAACCCCCAGCACAGGCTGGGATATCTGGGGTGGCCTGTGCAGGGCCAGGAGCGGGACTTGATGATCCCTGTGGACCCAGCTCAGGATATTCCAGGATTCTGTGCAGATCCACAGCTACAGGTGGCATAAATTTGATTTATTTGAGCAGGTGGGACCTGCTCCAGCGGCGTTTCCCCACCAGCTCCTGTCCCCAGCGAGGTCCAGCTCCATCAGCCAAACAGAGAGGGGTGATCCAAGGGGAGAAAGGAGGGAGCAGTGGCTGCTTTGCCTTGGAATTACCTTCCTCACACTCAACTCCACGAAACCAGCAGCTGAAAGTCCCCTCGTGGATGAGTCTGGGTTTAAAGGTGAACCAGCTCATCCAGCTTCCAGTCAGGGCTGAGAGAAAAACATCCAAAATTCTTCTGGCTTGGTTGGTTTGTTTATTTTGAATTCTCCAGGGCAGAGGAAGATTCCAGGCTCCCTGCCCCATTTAACAGGGTTCAAAGCTGGGAATTCCTTCCTTGCCTCAGCTAAATTAACTCAATCTCATTAAACTCTACTGGTCAAGGGATTGTTCCCTGAGCGGTGAATCAAACATTATCCAGCTGACCATCTGGATATCTGCACTGAGCTGGTCTCAGCTAATAGACTGGGAAGGAGTTAGAAGTTATAAAGGGTTGGAAACCTCAAATTTGTAGGGATCTGTTCTCTGTTTTAACGTGCTGAGAGGAAAAGTTCAGGTGTTACCTGCACTGCAATCCAGCTGGCGTTCACAGCGTGCTCTCCGAAGGGCCCAAACCCTGCAAGAGAACAGAAACCCACCCTGGTGAAGTCACTGTCACAGCTCTGACTCCACTTCAAGTTGCAAAAAGTTTGTGCTTTCCTAGTTTAGACATTCTGAAAGAAACCCCCAGACTTTTACCACCCAAGCATCAAACGAGACACCTGCATGGAAATATTTCAACTGCAACCTGGTGCAGTGAAGGAAACCAAGAACTTGCCCCAAAAGAACCTTTTTTCCCCCTCCAAACAGACATTTGGGAAGAAGATTTTCTTTTTCCTTCCTGCCCAGGTTAGAAAAACTTGTTATCAAAGAGGACTTGTTATCAAAGAGGACTTGTTATCAACAAAGGACTTGTTATCAACAAAGGACTTGATGTCAGGGAATTAAATCATGATTGGATATTTCTATTCCTGCTTGCTTTAACCCACAGCAGATGCCTTCACAAGCCTTCCTCAAATGTTTTTTCTCCCCTAAAGTCTTCTCCAAGATCTTCATTACCACTAATTACACCTCACAAGGACATAATCAGGACTGTTCACAGCCCACCTACCCCGAGCAGCAGAGGTTACAGTGGCATTATCAAAAATACCTCCTCCCCACCTCTGAATTCCTAATGGATAACTTTGGAGTTAACTGGTGATCCATAACATCTTCTCCTGAGCAAGCACACAAAGGTTGGGCAATTCATCTGGGTGCAATGTCGATATGCTTTAATTTACAATGTCAGCATTGCCCTCTGAGCTTAATGCAATTAGGAGACATAAATTCTGCCCAGCTCCTGAAAGGATTCGAGAGGGACCACAAATATTAAGTGACACCTTAATGGAAATGCTGTGTTTGCCATCAGCAGCCAGGCTGAGGTGATGCTGCACACGAGGAATTCACACAGCGCTGGCTCGTCCGCGCCCGTGGATCAAAACCCCAAAATATCTCCCCAAAATAAATATTCCCACAAAACCAAAGTGTTGGTGTGTTTTCCCGTTCAGCAAAACTCCAAGGCAGTAACACAATCTACGACTGCAGCACGGGGGTTAAGGCAAATTAATGCCTTTTCAGCTGTTTCTGCAAGTCCTACACAACCCTCTGAAAACAAACACCCCAGCCTGCTGGCTGTAATTCCTAAACAAAGTGCAACAATTTCACAAAATAAATAAAATACGTATTCTAACAACCCAGCCACCGAAAGGCTGCAATTCCACAGGTGTTCAAGGCACACAACACCACCCTCTTGCCCCGAATCCAAAGGAAAACCGGCACAAGCACAAGCAGGGGGGTATCACTGCCGTGACTCATCCCCTGCCCAGATCCCTGGAGTTCCCCCTTCCGTGGGGGACAAGGAACTCAGTGGGCACCTCCGACCCCTGGGAGCACATCCACCCTGCAAGGCTCATTAAGCAGCGAACCAGCTGCAGGGATCGTGACGGGATTATCTCCTTAACGAGTTCTAAAAAAGAAATTGTGCACAAATAACGCTTATCCTCAGCTAGCACGGCCTCGGAACCCAACAGGAGCGAGACACCGTCCCTGGTTTGAACAGGAATTTAACGTGACATCGATGACATTATCAAAAGAGGGGCAGGGCTGACGAGGCGACCGCCGTGTTTTGTAACCAGACTTCCCCGAAAACGGAGTGGAAAAATAAAAGAAAAGAGCCCGGAGAAGCCTTGCAAGCAGCAGAACATTCCCTGACACGCGTTTTCTGTTTAGTCACCACCGCCCCGTGCTGGATCCGGGGCTGGGAAAGGCAGGATCCGCCACCTGCTTCTCCTCTCCCCACAATTGTTCCCTGCAAAGACACTTTTGCCTCCGATCTCAGCCGCCCCAGCCGAGCCCCCGCCATTCAAACAGCCTCAACTTCAGCTGCTGGAGGAGGGGGGGAGACCTGAATAGTTTCAGGCGAGTTCCCCATTTGTCACAGAACGGCCTCACCCACAAATCACCCCGAGCGGCCTTTGTACCCCGGGGAAGAGCCTGACAGCGCCGGGGCCCCTCGTTCCCTGCCTTATTCTTCCCTCAGGGGCTTCTGCTGTGCTGAGGTGGAAGGGGGGGGATTTGGGGAGCAGCTTCCACACCTCAGTGGCTGGGGATGGGGTGCTCAGCGAGCAAATCCCATTCCTTCTGACCCTAAATTGGTTTTGCCCGCTCCTCGGTGGGCTCGGTTCCCGACTTCCCACAACCAGCAAAACCCCTGGGAGGGGGCTCAGGGGTGGAAAAGGGGGAGCCAAGTCCCAGCTGCCTGGGTGCAAGGGTTAGAAAAGCTGCTGCAAAGCCCCTCAAGCACGGGATCCCCCCAGCTCCTGACACCCCTCACACGCAGCAGTCCATCCCCAAAGCCCCACTCCATCCCCAGGGCTCCTGTTTGTCACCCCACAAAGGGCAGAGCCCCCCCAAACAGTCCCCCAGGGACAGCTTCCCCCTCTCCATCCCCTCCTTGGTCACATCCCGATGGGACAGCAGACTCCCAGCTCCTGGTCACACTCTCCTCTCCCTCACCCCGGGGAAGGGGTCCCCCACCCACCTCCCCCCCCCAGACCCCTTTACATCAGGGAAAGGGTCCTCAAAACTACTCTCCCCACCAAGCCTCCCTCGCCACGGGGAAGGGGTCCCCAAAACCACCCTCCCCTCAACACCACCCCCCCCACCTGCCTCCCTCCAGTTCCCCTCCAAGGGTTGGTTCCCTCACCTGCCTCCCCCAAGCCCCTCTCACCACGGGGAAGGGGGTCCCTCACTTGCCCCCCTCACCTCGGGGAGAGGGTCCCCAAAACCACCCTGCCCTACAAGCCTCCCTCACTTCGGGGAAGGGGTCCCTCACCTGCCCCCTCCGGGGTTGGGTCCCTCACCTGCACCCCTCACCTTAGGGAAGGGGTCCCCAAAACTACCCTCCACCCCAAGCCCCCACTCACCTCGGGGGGTCTCTGACCTGCTCCTCTGAGCTCCCCCCTTACCTCGGGCGGGGGTCTCCCACCTATCCCCCCTGCGCTCCCTCTTCACCTCGGGGAAGGGGTCCCCCCTAACTTCCCCCCCTCCCATTTATCCCCTCAGCACAACCCCATCCTCCCAGAGTCTCCTCGTACCCGTCACCACCACCGCCCGCCGCGGCTTCTCCATCGCGGCTCCGTCCCGTCCGTCCCGTCCCGTCCCGCCGCCGCCCCGCACTGAGCGCGGCCCCGCCCCGCCGCTCCCGCCCCGCCCCGCAGCACCCGGGCCCGCCGCTTCCGCCGCCTCGGCGGAAGTCCCGCAGCGGGCCGGCCCCGGGAGCCTTTCCCCGCTTACCGGGCACCGCTCACCGTAGCCCGAGGGAGCGCGGGGAGGGGGGGTGTCGGTTCACCGTGAGCCCAGACGCGCCCGCGGGCGGGGGGCGTTGGTCCAACAAAACGCTCATCCTGAGCCCCCGCGGGGGGCTCCCCGCGCGGCTGTGCGGGGGCACGAACCGCGCGGTACCGGAGGGGTCCGTCCGGTCCCTCCCGCCCGGTCCCGGGCCCGTCCCGGGCGGCGCCGCCGCGAAGGCGCGGCCGGACCCGGGCGGCGCGGCCGGGGCCGAGCCCGCCCCGCGCTGATTGGCCGCGCCGGGGCCGCGCCGCGCGCTGATTGGTCGCGGCGGGGCCGCGCCGCGCGCTGATTGGCCCGGCGCGGAGCCGGGGGCGGTTTGAGCGGCAGCGCCCGGCGCGGCGGCGGCTCCGCGGGACGCGCACCATGGTGAGCGCCGGCGGCGGCACCGGGCGGGCACGGCCGGGGCGGGGCGGGGCTGGGGAGGGGGCTGGAGCTGCGGGGAGGGCCTGGGGCATCTATCCCCTGCCCGGTGTCCCGCTGGGTGCGCTGGTGGGCGCACCGGTGGGTCCACCGGCGTCGCTCGGTGCCTGAGGCCTGTCCCCTCTGTTCCGCTCGCAGCTGCCTCTGTCGCTGCTGAAGACGGCGCAGAACCACCCCATGGTGAGTACGTGAGTGCCGGCCACGGTCCCGCCGCCCCTCCCGGCCTCGGTGGTACCGGGGGCAGGTCCCGGTACCGGCGGCGCGCCTGACTCGTGTTCTCTCGCAGCTGGTGGAGCTGAAGAACGGGGAGACCTACAACGGGCACCTGGTGAGCTGCGACAACTGGATGAACATCAACCTGCGCGAGGTCATCTGCACGTCGCGGGTAAGGCCGGGGTCACCCTGGCACCGGGCAGGGACTGCCACCCTCTGTGTCCATGGGGAACATCCAGCACCGGGCAGGGCTCACCCACCCCCTGTGCCCCCAGGAACCACCCCCGAGGGGTCCTGAGCTCTGTCCCTGCAGCCAGACCAGCCCTGAGGCTGTTGATCCTGTGGAAGTGTGACTGCTGCCCGACATGCAAATTTAACTTAGTTAATGATACGATCCGTAATGAAGGAACACGCTCAGGTGCACACTGGGGTGGGATGACTCCTTGCACAGCACAGAGTGAGGGGCTGGGGATCCCTCGCCCCCCTCAGTGAGGGTCTGGGGGCCACATGCCGTGATCCTGAGCCGGGTTTCCCAAAAAATCACAGCCTTCCCCTGTCACGTGCTGCCCCAGCAGCCTCAGACAAAAAGTGGCAGCTGGATGGATATCAGGCTGTCACTGCTCTTTCCCCTGCCCTGGAATATCAGAGCTCCATGGGAGAGACTGGCAGGGGTCCTTGTTCTTCCAAAAATCTCTCTGCAAACCCCCCCCCCAGTTCCTGTTGTCTCCACAGCAGAAGTTTGGAGTGGTGTTGATGGAGGCACATCAGTGTGACAGAGGAAACACCCTGAGGTTTGGGAGGGAATTTTGGGGTGGAACAAGGGGGGTTTTTTGGAATTTGTAGGTGCTCCTTGGGTCATGGTGGGACAAGTTGAATTTAGCAGGAGAGGGACTAGAGGAGGTAACAGCAGAGCCCATGACAGGGGTGATGCCATCCTTTTCCTTGGAAATTCGCTCCCAAAGGCTCGGTGCTCTGTCTGGGAAGAGCAGCAGCTCAGGTTTTGTTCCCTCTGGGTGGCCTGGAGGTATCACCCAGAAGGACATGGACCTGTTGGAGTGAGTCCAGAGGAGGCCTCCAAGGTGATCAGAGGGATGGAGGGAGCAGCTCTGGTGTGAGGAAAGGCTGAGAGAACTGGGATTGTTCAGTCTGGAGAAGAGAAGGCTTTGGGGTGACCTAACTGTGGCCTTGCAGAGCCTGAAGGGACAACAGGAAAGATGGAGAGGGACTATTTCCAAGGGCCTGGAGGGACAGGACAAGGGGAAATGGCTTCAAACTGCCAGAGTATGGCTTTACATGGGATATTGGGAAGGAATTTCTCCCTGTGAGGGTGGGCAGGCCCTGGCACAGGTTGCCCAGAGAAGCTGTGGCTGCCCCATCCCTGAAAGTGTTCCAGGCCAGGTTGGACGGGGCTTGGAGCAACCTGGGCTGGTGGAAGGTGTCCCTGGTTGGGCTGGATGGGCTTTAAATCACTTCCAGCCCAAACCAGTCCGTGTTTCCCTGATTCCACGATCTGGCCCAGGAAAGCAGCCGGGCTCACCACCCTCAGCCCACCTCAACACACCAACAACCCCCCCAAATCCCAGATGAACGTGGAGCTGCGGGGTTGCACTGGTGGCACTGGTGGCACTGGCCACTAGATGGCACGGAACAACGAGCAGGGAGCCGGTTGTTTACTCCGGGGAGGCCGGAACGAGGAAGCAGAGGAGCCTGGAGCCTGAGTTCCATCCCTTCCTGCATCCCGAGCCAAGGAGCAGCCAGGCAGATCCAAGGCAGGGTGGGGTTTGCCGGGTGTCTGTTGGAAGAGAACTGTTGCTCTCTGTCTTGTCCTGGGCTTGCCTGTACAGGCAGAGCTGCCCCAAATAACTCCCGGGGCGGGGTGAGGGGGGTGGGGTGGGGGGGAGCCAACTGTTTTATCCCGGGAAAGGAGGAACGGGGCGTTCTGGTTTCTCCTCCTCTCCTGGGACGCGACAGATGCCTCGTCCACGTGGTGCCACTTGAGGATGGCTGGGCTGGAGGGGTCCCAGCTGCAGCCAGACCCTCATGGAGCCGCTGCCGAGCTGGGAACGCGGTGCTGGAGCAGGACGAGGCGGGTCCCTGTCCCTCCTCCCAGTTACATCATGGCCAGAGAGTTGTTGTTCAGCTTCAGTGCTGGATTCTCACTCCCTGATGGGTTGTGTCCTAGGGAAGCCTGTTGTATCCCAGGAAAACCCTGAAACAACAAAATGTGACACAAAGGTGGCTGCTTCGAAACCATGCACCTGAAGGCTCTTTTTTATTGTAATAAATGTGTAATGTGTGAGCTCCTTTTTTCCCTCAGCTGCTCTGGTGGCTCACACCCCACAGCCAGCTGGCTCCAGACATGCCTTGCTGCTCCCTCCACACCCCAGAGGAGTGAAGGGTTGGGGTGACTCCCAGCTGGAAGAAAACCCAGCCCTGGCTGTCTCTTTTCTTCCCAGAATTGGTTGTTCAGCAACATTTTAACTCCCCACGCTCGTGTCTCTGGCCCCACTTTCAATTACCTTCTTGTACAAGGAGGAAAGGAGGTGCTTGTTTCCTTCCTCACCCTCTTCTCCCTTCATTTTCTGCCAGTGTTTGAGGTGCAACAAAATCTCTGTGGGCGTCCCTTCCAACTCAGAATATTCCGTGGAATTCCAAGATTGAAACTACAGTTGTTTGTGGCCCTGGGGTTGTGTTTTGGGGAGGAGAAGCCCCCTCCTTTTTCACAGCTAGTTACGAATAATGCTTTCAGCACACAGTGGTGGAGCTCTCCCTCTCTCCAGGTGTGATGGAAACGCTCACATGCCCTAAAAAGTGACGCGAAAGCGCCGGGTTTTGTCCGTGGCTTGACGTGTCGTGTCCCCTCCCCAACAGGATGGAGACAAGTTCTGGAGGATGCCGGAGTGCTACATCCGCGGCAGCACCATCAAATACCTGCGGATCCCCGACGAGATCATTGACATGGTGAAGGAGGAGGTGGTGTCCAAGGGCAGAGGCCGTGGCGGGATGCAGCAGCAGAAGCAGCAGAAGGGCCGCGGGGTTGGAGGAGCTGGCCGAGGTAACGATCCCGTTTGCTTCCCAGCTCGCAGAGGGGGCTGAGCGGCGTCCCTGCCTTTGGAATGTCACCTCTTGTGCAAGGAGCAGCTCCTGCCTCTCGGCTCCAGAGCCAGGGCTGGGGCTGGGAGAAGCTGGAGCCGTTCCTGTGCGGGATCCAGTCGAGCGAGTGCGTAAGGGCAGCGTCTGCCAAGGCACAGGGAGGATCCGTGCCAGGGATGGGCCTCCCTCGGTTCTGGGGTTGGGCAGGAGCTTCAGAGAGTCTGAACTTGATTGTTTCTACCCCTCCTGGCTCGTTTGGCAGCAGGGCCCTACAGAACTTTTCAGCTTAGCAAGTCCAGGGGGGAAAAACAAATGGCTGCTCTGGGTGAAAACAGTGAAAACACAGCTGGTTCTGCCCGTGGCAGTGATAGAAAAAAACCCATCTTCTCTCCCCTTAAAAATGGGGCTTTGGATCTCCTGTCAATTTATTTATATTAAAAAAACAAACAAACAAACAAAAAAACAGGGTTTGGAGGGTTTGTGTTCCTCCTGCTCCACATGAATAATTCATGTTCCTGATAAAAGGGGAAGTTGCCACTTCAGAAGAAATAGGTCACCCAAACAACATTCCTATTTCACAGGGGTTAAGGGATCCCAGAGCACTTCAGCTGGAGAACACCTTGCTCTTTTTTTTCCCCCCCCAAATTATCCCACTGGAAGCCTCAGAACCATTTTCTCTCCTTTCCTGCCACATCTTTGGGGCTTTGGGGTCACCTCGCAGCCCCCGGGGCTGCTCTCGGGGCTCCACCTGCATTGGGAGCTCAAAATCCCGAGTTAAATTTTAAAAGGAGCCCTGGGCACGGGGACACCGAGGGGTGAAGCCTCTCTGCAGCACCCTTAAGGACCTGCCTGAGTTTTGACTATGCCAGGAACCCTGGCAGGACAGGTGGGACCCACCCAGGGACACCACACCGGGATGGGACTTGCTGTTCCCAGGAGCTCCTTTTCCTCAAATCCCTGCCATCCCTGCTCCCTCCTGGAAGCTCCCAGCGTGCAGAAGTGACCTTTACAAATCTGAAGGCTCCTTTTATTTTTTCCCCCTCCTTCCCTTTGCAGTGTCCAGAGCACTTGGCAGGGTGTTTTTTTTTGGATTTTTTTTTTTTTTTCTTTTTTTGGGATATGGTTATTCGGATAAACGTTTTTACGGCTCTGGTATTTTTCTCTGCCGTGGAAATGTGGAAATACCCACCTTGTGGGGAGCAGAGCCGAGCTCTGAGGTGGAGCTCCTGCTGTTTTCCTGCGTGCAGCTGAAATTCGCTGATGGAATATTTTCGAGCATTTGCTAATTAGCTCAAAGGTTTGGCTCTCATTACTGAGACGTGAAGGGAGGAGGGAAAGGGGAGGAGGGGGGGGAAAAGAAAACCAACAAACCAACAACCAAGCAGGACAATTTTGTTGGGAGGCCACCAGGCAGGAGCTAAGCTGTAA